CCGGCAATAATTCCGCAGTAGTGGACTTGTGGAGGATCGCGGCTGCCGCTGGATAGGTGGGCGTACTGAACTTTGTAAGTAGCCCGAAGTCGGACAGGCAGTTCGGGACATTGATTTGGAGGGCACAGTCTGACAGCATTGACTTGCCACAGATCCAGTCCTAGTAGAATGACTTCGCGGACTTGAGGGTCACACCGGCCGGAAGTTGGAGGAGAGTGCAGGTACATTGGGAAGTAGACATTGATGATGATGACAATGAGTCTATCAATGCGCTTATTGGCTCTGGCTTCGAGGAAAACACGATCAAATGTGCGAAAAGCCGCCTCGACGAAGTTGTTTGTGGAAAGAGTTCCATCTCTGGTGTGATTTGCTGGAAGTCCGTAGTCAACCAGGGCTGGCCTCCACCTATCGCTGAACCACCAGCTTTCAAGCCATCGCGAAATGTCCTCACATGTCTCCGTATTGTTTCGCGTCAAGGATGCGAGGTTGACCTGGAAACGTGCATATGTCTCGTCCCAGTGTTCTTCGTCATCGCATCGCTGGCAGTCACGAAGTCCCGCAAGAAATTGAGAAACCTTTTGACAGCCAGTGGGATCTCTGCCAAAGATAGACTGTCCTCGAGATCGGGCAGCTTGCATGAAGTGAAATTGACAGAGACGAACTGGTGTTCCCGGGAATACTTCTTCAACAGCATTTCGCTCTGCATCGTCGCAATCGATCATGACAAATAGAGGGGTGAATCCGTCGAAGGCGATATCGTCGGCATACATGAGCAAGGAGTCCTTATCCTCTGCCGAACTGACAATGTCCGATTTCCCACTGACAAGCGCACGGGCTTCGTTTTCGATAGCTTCGCGAACTGTTTCAAGGAAATGTGTGTATGTGTCTGTGTTTGCGTGATTTGAGACCATCACAGCAACTGATTAACGGTCAGCAGGTTGGCAGCCAGGCTTGGTCAAGACTCACCGGGAACCATGTGACCGTACTCATTGACAGTGGTCAAAAAAGTGACTGGGCACCTTATGGCGTTCTTGTTTCTCCAAGAAGAGTCCATGGCTAATCCCTGCTCTCTGGCGTGGCGGATGGCGGATTGAAGAGCGTGTTTCGGGGCGATAACGCAGAGGAATTCTTCATCTTTTGGGATGTGTTCAACGCCACCAAGTTGAAGACTACTGGGGTACTGATAGCTAGAGGCATCAGTAAAAGAATGGCGAAGCGTTCTGGATGCTGGACTCACCTGAGAAACGATTCAGGATTCGCGGCATGAACAATAGCAATTGCTGCCAATGGCAATTTATCAAGTCTCTCTCGACAAAGAGCCGTCCTGATGGCAGTGGTAAAGTCTCGATCCTTCGGCAACCGCCAGGGGCATTCTTTCTTGGCCCATGTTACATACTGATGGTATTGGCAGAAATGTTGGTCCCAACGAATTTTTAAACGTGATTCGGTGGTGCCAACCATTGTTGCAGCGTCATGAAGAAGATTTCTGACATAAGGGGAAAGACGGAGTAGGTGTAAAGGTTGGGGTTCACCATGATAGGCGATTCGGGCTCTAATCAAAGTGCAGACTGCGCGATGTATCTGTCGAGGAGTCATTCGTATCTGTTGACCGTGAGCGTGACAGGGCTATTCGGTAAAGAAACGCCAACCCACCTCGGCGAAAAAGGCACACCTTTGAGGTAAACCTTTTGATGATTGCGTTTTGAGCGGGCTTGATGCTGGTGGGGGCGAAGTCTCATCCAGGTCTTCGGAGAGCGAGGAACCCTTTCGCTCTGCTAAAACTTGTGCCAGTGTCTGCCGTGGGGCTTCTACCTGGCAGCAGTTACCACTGCATCTCCAGATGGACCTCCACACAAGCTTGTCCGGACCGTCCTCGAAGGCTTTGTCGCTGACGAAGAAATTCGCATGACGGGCTCTTATGTCGTAGGGAAAAAGAGCAGGCGGGTCGAGCCATTCAACTTCGACGTGCTTGGAGACATAATGGTTCTCCACATTGTAGTCTTGACGCTGAGTAACATCAGCCTAGAAGGGAATGCAGGGAGAAAGACCTGCCATGGTATCAAAAGCCCTAGGGATCCAGCGAAAGGGCACCTCAAATGATTCGTATCGGGGATCGTTGATGATATCCTGCTTGGGTGTGCGGGCAAAGCCACCAACTTCGCGTATGTTGTCACCTTGGCTAGCTTGAGATCGGTGTACCGAAACGTCAAGCTGAGGGATTTCGGGGCCTTCGGATGTGTAAGAATGGGAAGGAATTTCCAAGAGCTGGAGACGAAGAGCAGCTTCGCGTCGGCCTTGATCGATGCTGTGGGGTGTGACGCCAAGGTCACCAGTTGATGAGGAGCCGAATGTAGACTGTGGAGTTGCCGAAGTGTTTGATTGAATTGGACTCAAGCCAGTGGTTTGGAAAGGTGTCGAAGGCGTGGAGTTTGAAGACGAAGAATGGGAACTCTTCGAGATCGATTTACTAACTTGTTGGCTATTGTGTTCGCTGGGCTGCTTGCCCAGCTGTTCGGTATTTTGTTGGCTATTGTGTTCGCTGGGCTGCTCGCCCAGCTGTTCGGTGACTTGTTGGCTGTCGTGTTCGCTGGGCTGCTCGCCCAGCTGTTCGGTAGTTGGTTGGCTGTCGTGTTCGCTGGGCTGCTCGCCCAGCTGTTCGGTAGTTGGTTGGCTGCCGTGTTCGCTGGGCTGTTCGATAGGGTGTAGGGTGTTTCGCTGGCCATCGTGAGAGCTGCGCTGTTCGGTATTGTGTTGCTTATTGTGTTCGCTGGGCTGTTCGGCCCTGACGGCTGAAAGAGGTGTGCCATTGGCCAATGCGAACTGCAATGCTTCCTCTTCGGCCACAGTGGAGAGACGATCTGGGAGTTAGAAGCTTATCCACAACACATAGGACGAGATAACTAACCTGTGTGTATCTGGGCTCGTTCAGCGAACAGGTCTCCGGTTGGTACAAGTGAGGGATTTGGCCAAGTTTGAGTAGGAAGATCTGGGGTAAGTGAGCAAATCGTTTGACACAGGGGACTGTAATCTTGAAAACTCGCCTGGTACAACTTTCGAAACTCCAAAGATCGCATCTGAATCATGGCGAAATACTCTTGGAGGACGCCCAGGCCTATTGGTGATTGATCTGGCAGCATTGACAATGAGATTGTTTGCCTGCTGGCTGGTGTCAGACATATGGGCAGAAAAATGGATGAGAATGTGAGTAGAGAATGTGAGTAGAGAATGTGAGTAGAGTACAAAGGTTATAGAGACTTTGATGTTAAAAAATTCATTTTGAAGTTGTTTATGTTTGGCCTACGTGCCGGGGTGTGCCGGGGTGTGCCGGGGTGTGCCTGATGTTTCGGGGTGTGCCTGACGGTTCGGCGAAATAGCCCGAAGCCCGAAGTGATCATATTAAATGGGAACTAGTTCACATGGAGACAAGAAGGCTGGATGACAGGCCTGAACACATGTGTGGGAGCAGGTTAAGTGCAAAAAGCAGAGAACTGAGCATGGTTTTGAAGTGGGAGTTTTGACTCAGCAGTGGTGGTATGTGGTTGTGGAGTGATGGTATGTGGATGTGGAGTGATGGTATGTGGTTGTGGAGTGATGGTATGTGTATGTGGAGTGATGGTATGTGGAAAGGGAGTGGGGTGAAGGAAAGGTTGAGTGGCGTGTTTTGGGAAAAACCGAAAAAAAGTGAGGGGAATAATTACAGAAGTGGCCGGATTATCCCTACACGCTCGAAATGGGTGAGTGACGATCGGGGAGTGAGAGTGGATCACGTGCGTTCCTTCCCTTCCTCGCGCCTCGCATTGTCTCCGGCTGCATGCTGCATGTCACCCTGTTTTGTCTTTCAACTTTTGTACCACACTTTGCCCGTTGTCTTGCTCTGCCAATACCTCTCATTATCATCTGTCAAACCTTACAAAATGCCAGACTACAGGTATCATGACGCCACACCGAGCTCCAGTCGAAGACCATCGCGTATGTCGCGTCTGCCTTGCGCGTCAGTAGAGTAGTGATGGAAGGCTCACTGATCATCAGGGTTATTACACTCTGAAGATGTTAGTCACTTTTATCCATCTCACGAGAATCCTTCTTCTCGGTCTGGGGCATCCAGTAGACTTCGAGAAACTTCCGCGGCTCCATCGAGGGCAAAGACGAGCAAAACGAGTCAATCGCGCATCGTGAGGACGTTTGAAGAGGTGACAAATGTTGTTCCTACAGAAGAATTGTACGACGAGATGGAGTGTAGCATGTGAGTTTCTCCTCCTTACTTCACATCTCCTGTCAAGTGTGTTGGGGAATAAGCTATCGGTGGAGGTCAAAGAGCACTGCTGATGGACAGATGCTCTCATGTTTTGTGAGTAGATACCCAGCAGGTGTTAGTAGAAGTGAAGGGGTTCTAATGAACATAGAGGCTGTCCTCAGACCATCGTACCGTGTGGACATTCTTTCTGCGGCCCATGTGCATGGGAATGGATCAAACTTCACGAGGTAGGTTCATCTCACCGCTTCATTCACCCACACCCAGGTCAATTTCACCGCGCATGAGATGAGATCGATGCTGATGACCATTAGAACTATACTTGCCCTCAATGTAGGGCAGAAGTCTACCGCGAATACCCTTATATCCCCAACATCGTCCTAGACCAGATCATCGAGCGTAAATTGCGCTCTCTGAGACCCGGCAAACAAAAAGATGATTATCTGGCAGAAAGAGAGGCGAAACTTAAGTAGGCTCATTTCGTCATAAATCACATGTCACAATCGCTCATGTGTAAGAAGCTGGAAAGAAATCCACGTCGAACCACGTACTATACCTCGACCACGCCTCACACCTCCTCCTCCTCGATTGATGACTGACCTCCTACGACTTTTAGGAGATGGATTGGTCGAGCCCTACCGATTCCAGACCGATCCCATCCCACGACCCCTTTTTAGGACACCGGTCGAGCCATATCCCGTGCAGCGTCACCAAGAAACCGACCCTACGCGTGTTATCATACCCAGCTCGCTGCCTGCGACCCCAAGTAGAAGGGTTACAGGGAGAGAGCGAGATCCCGTTGACTCTAGTCCATCTGTCGAATCACCTGGAAGTCGTACACGTCCGTCAGCTTCCGCACGTTTGGAAGTTCGACAAGCCAGGGGTAGGGAAGTGGGGACGAGATATCAGCCCTATGTGATTTCTGATAGCGACTCCAGTGATTGATGGTTAGGGCGGCAGCGCGGCACAGTTTGTCAGGGAGCAGTCGGTAGTGGGCGCTGTGCAAAATGTTGTAATGAAATCGAGGGGGTGTATCTGTCATGTAAGATCTCGTTGATCATTGAAGAATGCATATGCCATACACAGTGATTGTGGGCCAGTCAAAGATGCCGCCGGTCGTAAATGCTAAGATACAAATCCGTGTCAAGTACATCCAGAAGGAGAAATGGACCGTTCAGCAGGCAATACCCGCATCAAAGACGAGGATTCTCTGATGCTTTCAGTGCACTTTGAGGGTCTTCCATATATCGTACCATCTGATATTCCTTCTGCTTGAATCTGTGGTATTAGCATGTTCCAACCCTTCGACCAAAATCATGTCGCTCACCCGCACTTTTCATAGAAAGCTATTCACACGTCAGCTAAGGCCCTGACTTCCCCAACCATCGAACTTACGTATGTTACTTTGACTGCAGTCCAAGATGATCTTGTAACATCCTACACCTTTACCGATATCTTCGAGGGTGTTAATGATCTTCAATCCGAGCTTACGTCCTTGCATACTTTTGGACACGGCAATGTCTTCGATATGACCGACAAGACCTGCGTTACGAAGGAATTTCCGTTCGACGACGAGCGATCCACACCCGACAATCTACCTTCAGCAAAGGTTCTTGCCAGCCGATATCACCTTCCTGCATGGCGTTGTAAAGGAGTCGACCAGGTCGGATACACAAGCTATGCCCCCCTCTGGCGCAAAGATGTACATACACAACAAGTGTGTATATCGGGTGCCAATGAGCAGAAAATAGAAGTGAATGATGGAAACGAAGGCGATGCAAGGACTCACCTTGTCGGTGGACCGTTGAACGATGACAATGACAAAGTATGTGTTGAGGGCAGCTTTGAGTTCCTGGAAAGTGGCTTCATATCAGCAATGATCTCTTTAGCATTGTGTTGATTCAGCTTACAAGCGTAGGTTTGTTGCGATAGGGCAGGAGCAGAAGTGAGAACCGTGAGGAGTTCGATATGCCCTCTTGCATTGTCCGTGGAGGCCAGCGGTCTAAGCTGACACATGATCAGCTACATTTCGGATGATTGGCAGACTTTGAGACTCACGAAGAGGTCGTCATCAAGGGTGCTGCGTGAGGAAGAGGGGATCAAGGATGGATCGAAGAGTAGCTCGAGGTTGGACATGATGGGCGTGATGATGTTCAAAAGAGAGAAGTTAGGGGATGATATAAGAGACCTGAGCAAGAGAGAGGTGGCTCAACTCGGTCTATGAGCGTTGATCCGTTGACAGATGACCGATCTGGGACATAGTCACAATCACGTATTTACAGTAAGTTACTGTAAGTAGTTGTGCCCATGGCGATGCGTCCTTGAACGGACACGGTCATTCCAGGAGAGGAGTGGCAGCACAGCCGAAAGGCGCGCGAGCTGGCTGGAGAGCTCAGATCAGTTCACTGATAGGCGCGCAGCTGCAGTGGCAACATCACGCCGACCGCTGAATACCTCTTCATAGTTTTTGCATACTTACAATAACACCACACAGGCTGCAGGCGGGCAGACTTGGGTCATGCCCAGACGACGCAAAGACTACCTATCAGATGGTTCAGACTCGGACGCCTCACAGTCCGGACAATCTGAGGGCGGCTTCAACTCTCAGGAGGACGAAGACTCTCGAGCCGAGAGAGAGCTCTTCGAGTATAATGGGAACAAGCGGCGGAAAAAGGGTGGAGGGAAAGAGGCTGCTTGGGAAGGTATCTTTGGAGAGGAAGAGGAAGATTATCGAGCTGGTGGGAGAGGTCTGGGATCTAAGAGAGGGGTAAGGGGAGGTAAAGCCTCCAGCTCGAGGACTGATTGGACAAAGTACGTCTTCGTCTTTCTTGAAAACTATAAGCTGAGTTTGAATAGAGCACCTGCGTTCGTCCCCAAAGCAGCAAATACTGAGGTGAGCAAGAGTGAGGAGGTACGAGATGTAAAGATGGCTAGTGAAGACGAGGAGGAGTCAGGGAGCGAGAACGACACAGACGATGAGCCAACTCGACCACCATCGCCTCGTGTCAGAGAAGAAGAGCCTGAAGAAGATGATCAACCTAGGCGAGGAATGGGGATGGGTTTAGGCTTCAAGCCCGCTTCCAGTGTAGATGATGAGGTACCCTTACAAGACGAGGACGGCGGGGCGAATCCCAAGATCGGTGGCAGGGCAGGGATTGGGTCAAGCAATCGAGGTAGAGGAGGGATAGGTTCTTCCTCGCGAGCTGGGTTGGGAGCTACCGAAATGCCTACAACTGCATCGGCCGGATCTGTTAGAGGAGGTCTTGGCTCGTCAAATGCTCCTTCAAACATGATGGACAGTCCTACTCCTACGCCATCGGTCCCATCGGCGTTTGGACGACCTACTGTACTCCCTACATCTGAGGCCGGACCTTCAAGACCACAATCCTCTTTCAGAGCACGACCAGCAGCCCCCACTACGGCCCCTCCACCAACTGCGAACTTGACCGCCGCTGAAAAGGCCCATTTTCGGTCTATCGAGTCATCTTTCGGAGCTCGAATGCTTGCCAAAGCTGGTTGGGTAGCTGGGAAGGGTCTGGGAATGATGGAAGATGGTCGAGCTGTACCCGTAGCTGCGGGGAAGATCATCAGAGGGCAGGGTATCTCATCGGGAATACGTACTGAAGATAGTAAGCGAGATGCGAGACGAAGGGGAGAAAAGGTGTCAGATGACGAGGAAGAAAAACCTAGGAGAAGAGGGAAAGCAGGTCGTGCGGGTGGCAATGATGGGCCAAACAGGGAACAGGAGCAGGGATGGAAGAATCAAAGGAAAGTCAAGGTCAAAGTTGAGCACAAGACTTACGAGCAATTGTTGGCCGAAGCAGGACAATCAGCAGCGGCAGGAGTGGGTCAGATCATCGATGCCAGAGGCGGAGAGGTGAGCTCAGCGTCATTCGAGCCAGGTCAAGCTTACATGTGCATAGATGAAAGAGGTCTCCAGCATGTCGGCTCTGTCTTTGTCATCTTGGACACCCACATCGGATTCAACACAACTTCCAGAACTGCGACACAATCTTAGACTCATCCTCGACGTGGGCAAAGACGATGTGACAGCGGCGGCCAGAGAGGGCAAGATGATCAATGAAAGAAGGGCGTGGTCCCTGAAAGAGGAGGAACGAGCTCGTAGACGAGTAGAGGAGGCAGACAAAGGTATGATCACTGATTAACGAATAGACGTTATGCTAATGAACAGAATCTAGAAGGTTGGAACGAATCTCAACTCTGATAGAGTCGATCACGACAAAGGCCGCGGCTCAGGCAGCACATGCGGATCCGTCTCTTGCCAGACTCACAGAGGACTTTGGGATACTTCTGAATGATTTCAAGGACGAATATGTGGCATTGGGTCTCGACGATGTGGTGGTAGGCGCGATCGCCCAGATTGCAAGTTTTCCATTCCGACCCGATGAGCAGTCAAGCTGACTTTCCGTAGTTGAAGCGATCATTGAATACTTGGCAACCTTTCGAAGTCTCCTCTGACGTCCTACTCTCCTCACTGAAGCCATGGCGACATGCATTCAACCTTCCACGAAGCGACAATGACGATGCGCAAGCTCTCGTGCCTAGTGATAACTCAAGCAACGGCGTCAACGGACACAACATAATTAACGGTGAACGAGACATGTCAGCCTGGGAGACGCTTCTATGGACCGCTTGGCTACCCAAAGTCCGGTCAGCTATCAAGTGAGTGACATTCATTCCTCATGAAAGTCAACGCTGATGTCTTGCAGCAATGAATGGGACCCGTCTAAACCTCAAGCAGCGGTACATCTTCTAGAGTCCTGGGACCCCATATTACCTCCCTTCATCAGAGACAACATCATTGATCAGCTCGTACTACCTAAAGTGAAGGCGGCGGCAGACCATTGGGATCCTCGAAGGGCCAAGCTCGGCAAGGGAGTCAAGTCTTTGGCCGGTGTCGTATTTCCATGGCTGCCATTACTCGGTGCAAGGGCAGACGAAATGTTAGAAGGCGCCACGCGGCGATTACGTTCTGCCATGCGGAGTTGGGTTGTTAAGGATGGAGTACCTGATGAGTTGTTGCGTTGGAGAAAAGATGTAAGTGGAATTTGTTCTTCATCATTGTCAAAGCTCACTTCAACAGGTCTTCTCTTCGAGCGAATGGGATAAACTCATGCTGCAAACTGTTGTCCCCAAACTTGGTGCTACTTTACGGGAAGACTTCACTATCAATCCCCGGAGTCAAGATATGGTTCCTTTAGTGGACTGGGTTATGCCATGGCATAATCTCTTGCGTCCTTCAGTCTTCTCACATTTAATCGAGGTCGAGTTCTTCCCTAAATGGTTGGATATACTGTACATTTGGCTCATCCAACCGACGTATAAACCGGATGAAGTCGCCAATTGGTGAGTCAACCGTCCCCCGCTTAGATCGAGCTGATGTGTTAGGTATGATTGGTGGAAGAGACAATTTCCTCAAGAAGTACTTGACATGCGTGGTATCGCCCATGGATTCGACACTGGCATTCAGCTCATGATGTCCGCCGTGGATTTGGGACCGGAAGCCCCGTCTAAACTGCGCAAACCAAACTACGCCCCTTTACCACCGTCCAAATCGAGCAAGTCAAGCTCGAAAAGTACAACGTCGGTATCCCGTCCTCGACCTATGGAGTCGACAATGGGAGATATCACATTCAGAAACTTGGCCGAGGAAGCTGCGGCGCAACACGACCTTATCTTTTTACCGTTGGGGAAGTCACATTTGCAGACGGGGAAACCGTTGTTCAAAGTTGCGAAGGATGCCACGGGGAGGGGAGGTCTCACGATTTATGTGGGGGAAAGTGCGGTGTTTGCTCAAGGAGAGGATGGGACGTACAAAGCTGTGTCGTTGGAAGATATGGTCAAGAGGGCATTAGCATGATGCATTATACATATTTTGTAACTTTGAGGTTCGACGGTGTAATGGACGGAGACGGCCAACGCATGGCGGAATGAGACTTTTGCAGTTCCCGTCCTTGCAGCAACAACATTGTTATTGTCGCTTTCACTCGACATATCCGTGATCTGACTAGGTACAACCATCCATCCAAGTTGCCGCTCACTATCCCTCTCTACCAACCTCTATCGCCATTTGTCAAGCAAGATGGGTATCCTGGAGAAGATAGAAGAGATTGAGAGTGAGTGAGACAGTCTTTCGTACGGATCGACTAGCTAACATGCAGAGGAGATGTCGAGGAGTAAGTGTTCAAATTACTTGTCTTTATCTCTTCTGGCTTTGAGACTCTGTGATACTCTTCAGGTCTGAGGCCATCTCCGATGTCTCTCTTGGGAGATAGCTGACATCGCCAGCGCAGAAAAAGTACGTTAGACTATACGCTTCATAATCCACTGATGCTTGACATTGACATCATGCAGCAAAGGTGGGTTCTTCCAAAGACCCAGGAGATCCTGATGCAGAGCTGATTTCTACAGCCACGGAATATCATTTGGGAACACTGAAAGCAAAATGTCTGTTCTCTATTTGTCATACAAAAACCTCTCGCTGAGAACGCAGTGGCCAAATACAGAGCACAGTTGTTGGAACCGGAAAAGAAAGGTGCAAAAGGGGAAGGATTTGAAGTCCTCAAATCTGGAGGTTGGTTCAACACTTTTCTTCTCCTCACATCTTTCCGGGTTCTCGTTCCATTTATCACATCACTTTCAGCTGTAGAACAGCAAGTGACTCTGTTCGAAGGAAGCTGAAGATCAGATGCTCGAGTATGTCTCATAGGTTTCCCATCAGTTGGGAAATCAACTTTGTTATCAAAAACTACCAAGACCGAATCGGTCGTGGGGGCTTATGAGTTCACAACTCTGACTGTACGTTTTTCATCTTCTTTTCGACTCAGGAAGTTGATCATGAAGGCTATTCCTGGTGTTTTGGAATATGAAGGAGCTAGAATACAATTGTTGGATCTGCCTGGTATAGTACAAGATGCCGCTAAAGGTGAGCCGCCCAATCCTGTTCTTTGCACCTTCCACGAATACCAAATGCTTTCGACGTACTTCATGCCGTTGATAACATTGTCTCCTGGTACAGGTACATACTTGCTGATCATGATAGGAAGAGGCAGAGGAAGACAAGTGGTATCCGTTGCGAAAACAGCCGATCTTATCATTCTCATGAGTCAGTAATTCTTCAGCAGACATGAGGAGATACAGTGACTGAGATGATTAGTCGATGCTACCAAATCCGCTGAACAGAAGAAACTGTTGGAGATCGAATTAGAAGCAGTTGGTATCAGACTCAACGCTAGGAAACCCGACGTCGTGTTCAAGCAGAAAGCTGCGGGAGGGGTGAGCTATGTTCGGTCATCTGCATCATACTCCAGCTGACATATTCAGATCACAGTTAGTCCCGACGTTAACGTCATGAGACGAGACTGACAAATGAGATAAACTGTACTGTCAAGTTGACTCAGACGGATGAACGTACCGTCCGCACTATCCTTCAAACATATCGGAGTAAGCTACCGTCTTGTTGAATTACTCAGTATATTATTGACTGCTAGTACACAATTGTGACGTTATGATTCGAGAAGATGTACGTCGTTCTGTTGTTTTTTTCTTCGTCATCCCAGGCTTTAGTTCCCCTTACTCTCGTCTTATTGACGTTTACTCTTGAGGCTGGCTACCCTGACATTGCCAGATCACAACAGATGAATTCATCGACGTCCTCCTGGGTACGAGAAAATACATTCCAGCTCTGACATGTATCAACAAGATCGACGGGGTATCTATGGAGACCTTAGACTCCATGGCGCGTCAAGGAGATGGTAAGACAGTCATGATCAGTTGTGAAATGGACTTGGGGATCGATTGGTTACTGGAGAGCATATGGAGGGTTTGTTGCTTTCCAATTGTCACCTTTAGAGTTCAGCTGACACGCAGGAATTGGGACTGGTCAAGTGAGAAGATATGTTCTATAACAAGAATATAACATGCTGATGAACAGGGTGTATACCAAGAGAAGAGGGGAAGGTCCAGATTTGAGTGATCCGATTTGCTTAAGACAAGGAGCTACAATCGAGACTGTCTGTCATGGGATTCATCGAAGTTTGGCTTCACATTTCAAGTGAGTCATAATACATCCCCACCACGTCCATGCGCAGGCGCTAATTCCCCTTGTAGGTATGCTCTGGTATGGGGTAAAAGCAGCAAATTCAATCCTCAGCCTCAAAAAGTCGGCTTAACCCATAGCGTACAAGATGAGGACGTGTAAGTCGATGTAATCTTTTCCCAAAGTCTCACCGCTCATGATTGCTAGAGTAAGCATCTTTACAAAGTAGCACATGGGAGGCTCCTGCATGCAATTTGTCGTATCTCAATGTTTGCAGTGATAGCGGTGATGACAGTGCATTCAAAGATCTAGGTAGCTTGTCTCTACACAATATACAAAACAGGATTCGTATCGTCATTATGTTTACCATTCAAAATCAGGGGTGGAGCGGTAGATCTTTCTCATCTCCCCCACACTCTGAAACCATCCATGCTATCACACCTTCACTTCGGCCACTTCTTGCCGTATCACCTCGACCCGTTTCTCCACTTCTGTGAACCACGCCAACGCCTTGACTGCACGCTTTTCGGTCTCTTCACTCTCCCTGACCACTTCCCCACGAGCATCCACAGCATTCTTGAACCTCTCACGCAGTTCCCACGCCGCAAGTCGCATGACCTTTCGTACCTCCTTGCCCACCCTCGCCGCCTGTGCTTCAACAAACGGCACATTGACACTGTCGTCCATGACGCCTGAGGAGATCGTAAGAGTGGTTTGAAGATGTCGACCGACGTTACGGGGAATAGATCGTGGGAGCTCGAGAATGACCCAGCCGACAGCACCAAGGGTCACCACGCCCAAGACAGGACCAATCCATTTCCTCACTGCCGGGTTTGAAGCGAGCTCCGTCACATGTATTGCACCCTCAAGAACGGATCGAAGACCGACCGACTTGCCACTGACCATGGACAAGGCTCCGACACCGAGGGAGAATGCACCCAAGCCGGACATTTCTGCTGCGAAAGGTACGAGCTCGTGTGAGGATGACATGGAAGAGGGTAGGGCAGCGCGAGCAACGAAGAGGTGGTGGGAAAGGTCGAGAATATCCATGAAATCCGGTTCTGCCAAGCTAGTCTGCGCCGCCAAACCCAAGCCAATGAAACCAACTCCGGATTGGCGGCGCGATCGGTTGACCGGACGAGCGGAGAACATTGCGTTCGAATTGAATACACGCTTGGAGCGTTCGACATCCTTAGGCAGGTGTGTGTCACCAAGTTCGGCTACCCGATTGACTCCCTCGGTAGTCAGGCGACGAGCATCGTTCTCCGAGAGAGTGGTGGCAAAGTCGAGTGATGCTAGAAGTACACGGCGGACCTCTTTGGCGTAATCCCACACACCCAACAAGCCAGGATACGAAGGCATCTCCAAGCCAGGTGCCGGCGCAGCCATCTCTCCCTTGCTGACTCTTTCAAGCGCCCTTTGCATACCCTTGCGAGTGCGCGAGATGGCCTGTTCGGTAGTGGTCTCCTCTTCCGCCACCAAACTCTCCTCAAATCCATCCTTGCCCTTTTGCATCTTCTCCAGTATCGGCCTGGTCCTCTCAAGTTCCGCCTTAGCAGCTTCGCGTTCTTTCTGAGCGACTAGCGAGTTGGCGGAGGCGAGAAGTTCGACATCTGCCAACAAATGAGTGACGTAGTTCTGAGCCGGGCCGAGCTTAGATTTGGCTCGATTGACAAGGACGAAGGACCTGAGAGAGTGTTCGAGATGTTCGAATGCGTGATCGAGTTCTTCTGCATCTCCATTCCCGCCCGTACAGCCAAAAGCCACCTTGGCAGAGTCGACGAAGTGCACAAGATCGGCGGCATCCTCGAATGTAGAGGGACTGAGCTGCTTGATCTGTTCGAGCACAAGTCGACGGCAACGCTCTTTATCACGGATCTGGTCGAATCGGTTAACGACGATGAACAAGTGAGCCTTCTCATGACCCGCCTGCCAGATAAACTCCTTGGCGGAAAGGGTAAAGTGGTTCGCAGCGGACACCACAAACACGACGACGTCGATTTCTTCTTGCCGTGCGAAGTTGGCTGTCGTCTTGACGGAGTCCCGATTCAGACCGGGGGCATCAATGAGCGATATGTCGATCACGCCATTGTGTAATATGGAGGGGTTGGTGATCTGGGAGTCGGCTTCTTTGAGGAAGACTCGCAACGGCGGGCTCGAAGCATCCGCGTCAAGATCGGTCACCAGCTCTTCCAGCCTATTGATGTCTTCGACGGAATAGGTGGATTCATTTGCAGGGTCGTATTTGACATTTGCGGCAAGCATGTGTATCTCTTCTTTGTCCCCATTCTCGCGAGCACTGACTACCTCGACAAAGCGGGTGGTCAACGGTTGTTGGTCCGTGGGCATGACTTCGTTTCGACGCAGCAAGGCATTGACAAGAGTCGACTTGCCAGCATTGAGATCACCAGTGATCAGGACTCTGGACTGGGGATCATTGACTCGCTTCTGTAAAAGCTGAAGATGGTCCAGCGCAGCGGCGAGTCGAGTGTCGAGTAAAGCGGAGATGGAAGCTTTTTCCAGCTGGTTGATGAGAGTTTGCGCTTGCCGAGTGGCACCCAGGTTCAGGTCAAGACGTAATATGGAGAAATCTTCCTCGTCATTCTCGACATCGACGAGAGGGGGGTTGTTGGGAGCAGATATCGTCGCCGGGGACGTTGAGGGAGGTGGCGCGACTGTGAGAGACCGTTTCAGACCCTGGCGGACGGTTGAGGAGGAATTGAGGACGACATCGGTCACCTCTGCGGGTTCATCCGCGAAAGTCAACGTCCGTCTCGCCATTCCTGGTCTATGGGCTGTAGGGTCAGATGGGATAGGTATGATTGTAGACGACAACATACGAAGGGGAGGCCCAGCTTCATCAACGGTACGCAGGTGTGGGTAGCGAATGGCCCATTGATTGGCATTAAAATTGCGAACGTCGGCGACGAGGTATTCAGACGACTTGATGGCGTTATCCAGCCTGGGTCGTCAGCTTGATCTGGGATCATTCATAAATCTCTGGCTCACTTGTCCCTCTTGACTTCATACTCTCTCACCACACCTTGTGCCAGCTCCCTGGCTTGCCTCGCGGAGAGATCGGGACCAAAATGAGATTCCTTCTCGAATGAAGGGGAATCGGGGGTGGCGGGTCGAATGGATGGGGAGTGGAGTTGTGGGTGGAAAGGCTGCATCTTGATGTGAGTTTGGGTGATAATAGTATGTGTACTTGACTGAGATGCCTTGTGAGGCTGCCGATGACTATAACTTGGCCATGCACAAGAAGAAAGGTAGTAGTAAGGAAGGAAGGGAGGGAGGATGTTGGACGATGGGGGATCGATGGTGTTTTCGCCCGTCGGGGAGGAGCGGAGTGGGATTATTATTATTCCCAAGATTAAAACACAATTAATCCCAGCCTCGCTTGGGTTATCATTACGTAATCACAGTCAAAGGCATGGCACGTGACTGCTTTGTTTGCGACGGGTGGGTGGGTGGGTTTGCTTCAATTCTACTTTACTTTACCCATCTATCTACTACTCGTACTATTGCTTCACCTTAGACTCCCCCCCCCACCTATCCACATCATCATGGCAGCTCAGGTCTTCGCAGAGACACCGTCAAGGCTGTTGAGGAGGGTACAGCTGCTGGAGGATATGGAAATGCCTTCTCTTCCCAGCATTCATCATGACATGGGGTATGAGAGCAGCCTCACTTCGAGCGACAACGACAGTCTGGTTCATGTTCAACAACACACAGAGGCAAGTCATGTTATCCAGAGTAGACCGCTTCGTCTATGCTGACACTCGTATAGGATGTGGAGACTCCTCATCCCCACCGACTCGCTCCTGCCCAAGCACAGAGCAAAGTTCCTTCCGAGACATCTTCCACTTCTGCCGGCTCACCTTATCCTCCCACACACGCCGGCGCATTGGTTGGTACTCCCTCCTCTCGTGATTCATCCAAAGTCCTCACTTCTACTCCATCCACACAACATCATTATCACTCCCACTCACAATCGACTCGCATCCGAGGTGACGACACCAGGTCTACCGTGACGGCGAAACATGAGCGGACAAGGAGTGGAACAACTGGCCTTGGGAATAGTACACGGACTGGAAGAGAGAACTGGCACACTCCGCGAGAAAGCTCTAGCTTCTCTGCAGATGAGAGTTTGATAGAGGATCATGATGCGGAAATAGCCACCAACGGACAGTCTAGCGATACCTCGTTTGTGAGCCCGCATCTCTTCAGCTGTATCTGTTGTCTGACAATATAGTCTTCCCAACAGTCAGATATGGTGAATATTATTGATACCCCGCTCACTCGACGTATATCCGCCAGTCACGTCGTGTTCAACAGACCACGCCGACGAGGGTTATCTAGCCAGCAGACGGAACATGGAATGGAGGCTACTTCGTCTTTGCCTCCACTGGAAGAGGTTTCAAGCCCGGGGTCCTCCATTGGCATGGCACTCACCATTCCCGACGAGAAAGAACGCGTCCCAAGCCTGTCAAGGAGCGAGCTGTCTGGAGCCGATACGGACGGGGAGGCGAGGACGCCTGAGGGCCCTACGAGGGCCGTCATCATCGCAACCCCCCGCTCGAATCATGGCGGGCAACCTGACGACAACGGAGTGGACGTGGAACATGAGTGGGTAGGTGGCGCACACGAGACAACATTCCAAATCCACAACGACAGTCGCGACGACGAGAATATCACTAGTCTACCCGTCAAGTCATTGGGTATGACACCACTGTCTTCCACCCCCGGAGTCGGGCGATATGCTGGTAGTCCCTTGGGCGGTTACGGTAGTCCCAATATTTATCATGACCTGGCGTCCACGGTCCTGCAAGATGTCACGGTCTCGTTACAGAATGTCAAGACACCAACTCCACAAACTCCCTCACCGTACGCCCATTCTCTTCACAGCGACATGTCGACTCCTCGAGCACCGTTGAACGACGCGGAACGGCGCAAAAGTCATGTACTTGCAGTGCTTAGTTCCAGTCAACTACCCACGCGCACTTGGCGAGCTCCGGTACGTGGTACTCCACATCCTCTGCGGCGAGTATCAATGCCTCCGTCCTCGACATCGATCATGGAGGAAGGGCACGAACCGTCTGTACGACAATCTCGGTTCACAATTCAGCCTGGCGGTCGGTCAAACCTCAGCGTTGGAGCCACCTCGGCTCAAAACGAATCATTCATATCTATAGCCTCGTCCGCAGATCTCACTTCGGATAAGCGGGGCACCACAGTCCATCATACTCATTCTCGAATCAACACTTCTTTCCCCACCATTCTGCTTCCCACAGGTGCTCAGTCCAATGGTCCCCTGCGAGCCGTTTCCGATCAGCGAGCTGATGGCATCAAGATCCACAAGCACCTCAATGCTATGAACAAGCAGCTACTCGAGACCAACTCAGATCTCGCCCGAGAAGCTGAAGCTTGGCGGGATGAGGCTGAGCGACTCAGGGCTGTCTTGGAGGAGGCAGGAGTGGAGTTTGAGGACATCGACGTTATGGCAAACATCTCCGGAGTTCAACGTAGTCTGTCGTTCACGAACTCGTCTGTCAAGTATGACGAAGGAGAGAGCTCGGCTCGTGTCCTAAGGAATGGCTCAAGCGACGTCGATGCCTTTGTGACCCACCAGCAAAACAAAGACGCAAACGAGAGAAGTGGCGCCGTGGATGAGCTGGTCGAAAGGCTTGAAGAGCTCGAAGGGGTAATCGACAACAAAAATCGTATGATAGCCGATCTGGAACATGTTTTGGAAACCGCTCGAGTGTCAACCGATGACGGTTCAATTGCACACAGTCAATTGCGAGATCTTGAGCTGCAGCTGGAGGAAAGTGAAAGGTGCAAGATGCAGATCCAAGCCGATTTCGCATCTCAGACTGGGGAACATGCTAGAAAATTCGCGGAAATCTGCTCTGGCTTTGAGGAACAGGTTACAGAACTCGAAATGCGGCTGGCGTCCGCCAGGAGTGAGGCGGATCGGGTCAAAGCCGAAAAGGAAAGGCTCCAGGCCATGGCTGAGAATGAAAACACCACAGACAGAGAGAAGGAGTTACGGTTGCAGGTTGCCCAGCTCGAGCGAGAAGTCTCAAAAGCAAACGAAGCTGCCGGAAATCATGAGGTGGAGGCGCAAAGATACAGGGAGGAGAAGGCACGAGCGGTGGAGGAGCTCGACAGCTTGAGATCCCAGGACCAAGAGCTCCGAGCAAAGGTCAGAAGACTTGAAGCGGATTTGAACGACGCGGTGACTCTATCAGACGAAGCGGTAAACGATCTCGAAGTCGCGCAACAGGCTCAGGCCAGTGCAGAAGGTGCATTGGCAGAAGCTCGTCTTCGCATTGATGCTCTCGAGTCGGAGGCGGATCAACATCAGGCAACGATTAGCGATCAAGAGACCGAACTTGATCGTCAGCATGAGGAACTCCAAAGTCTTCTGAATCGCATCGAGGAGCTCGAACAGGGACAATCGACAGGTATGTCGGAAAAGGAAGCTGCAGATGTGGACCGTCTCCAAGCAATGGTCGAGAAGTTGAATTACTCTCTTGAGCAGCGCGACGTGGAGATTGAGCTCTTACGAGGGCAGCTGGAAAAGGTGGACAAGTCGGTCGTACCGGTGGATGAAGAGCAACGAAGTTACGTGGCTGCGATTGAAGAACGACTCGACGATGCCTATCGCGAGATTGGTCGTCTCAAGCACGAGCTTTCAGCCTCGCCGCATCGAAAATCGGCGGTTGAGATACGAGACGCTAGGATACGTGCTTTGGAGCAGGAGAAGGCTACTTTACAGCAGAGACTGGCGACCAGCAAGACAACGGCATCCATCGCGAGCTCGTCGATGCAGATGGCTGGATCACCATTCACTCGGCCTACACCATTTGTACACAAGGCTATCTCTTCCATCAAAGGGCTCAAAACACCTGGCTCTATCCAAGAGGTCGGTCTGCGGTGGTATGCACACGTAGTTGACTTTGCTGACGTGATAGATGTCCTGGCTACAGACCACTATTGGAAACCCTGACGAATCCGTGCTGCACGCCCAACTCGAACATCTACAGACCCAGCTGAATGATGCAAATGAACAGCTCGATCAGAATTTCAGTAGACTCGAAGAGGCTGGTATTGGGGCGATTGGCCTGGCCGAGGAGCTAGCTGCGGCACGGGATCACATTGGGCAGTTGGAGGATGAGATTCGCACGTTACTTCAGCGAAATAAAGCGTCATTGGCGTTGGTGAATGCTCAAAGGGAGGAGATCAGGTGAGTGCCGGCTGTCAATGCCAGAGGCTTACAAACACTGATCAACAGCCGAGAAAGCGACGTGAAGCTTCAAAAAGCCTTGGGGGTAGTACATGACCAACTCGAGCATCTCAAAGCGGACGAGACGGCTGAAAGAGGACGGCTGCACCGAGAGAATAGCCAACTCCAAGATCTCCTTCGAGACCTGCGGATGAAGAGTCAGAAAGAGGCGACCTCTTTCCACTCCGAACTGCAGATCATCGAGGCCGCCGCTCAAGCAGAGATCACGAAGGTCAAGAAGGCTATGACGACGATAGTGGGTCAGAGGGATGATTTACAGAAAGTACGTTGATCATTCGTGACTGATCTATGACTGATCACATAGGAGCTTCGTGCTACTTCTACCAAGGTTATCAGACTCGAGCGAGATCTGGCTTCACAGAGGGAAGAATATGAACGACTCATCGAGCGACAAACCACATTGGCAGGCGACACGACTCAGCTAGTTCGAGCACGGGCCACTATCAAATCCATCGAGCTTTCTCTGCGTGAAACGAACGCTCGGTCTGATAGCTTGACTGGTCAATTGGACGAATCACGCAGACGCTTGTCTGATGCTCAGGAAAAGATCAGAGAGCTCGAAAGAGAGCGAGCGACTGTCATCCAGGATCTGGCGGTGTTTGAGTCGGACTTGGAGAGACAACATGTGGAGAATGCCAATTTTTCGGCAGCCCTACGGATGTTCAAGGAGCAGCAAGCTACGATGTTACTGCAGGAATCAGACTTAGGAAAGCTCAGAGAGGAGTTGCGAGCTGCTCAGCATAAGCTTCAGTCAAGTATGGTACAACTTGATGAGGCCAAGCAGAAGATGACTGAGTTGGAAGAATTGCGGGACATTCAATTGAACGCGTGAGCATCGATCCTACTACGAGATCTTCCTTGATTGCGACAATTGACTGATGGCAGAACATCGCGGAACGCTCTGGAAGAACAGAGAAGTCGGTTCAAGGCGCAAGCAAAAGATTTAGCTGTACAAATCCGATATTTGAAAGTCAAATTTACTCGTGAAGCTTCGTTCCGGAATGCGTTGGCGTTGCAGAAACGGTACCTTCTGTTATTGGTGGGAGGCATGAGTCTGAAGTGAGTGAATGTCACTCAATCTCGCACTGAAACGGCTGACAATCATAGTGAACAAGCTACTCTCAAGGCCATAGCATCAATGGGCTTTCCCTCACCTCAGCCTCCTACCCAGAAGAGAACGTTCAAAGCTGTAGCTTTGGCTGTCATGAGCGTTATCCGCACCAGGTGAGTCAAACGGTATCTTGATACAACCCTGCTGATGACGTAGAAATGCTGCTCAGCAATGGAGAGCAGAGAGGGAGCTAAAGTCGGACGCAGTAATGAATCATGAAAGAAGGAGAGTATCCTCACGATGACAGAAGTGACAATTTGTGGAATGAGATATGGCAATGGTGGGTAACTTAGATTCAATTGGGCGTTGTTCGTGCTCTGTATACAACCAAGACCTCATCTTTGATTATCTTGTACGAGTGGTTTGGGATCCATATGCATGCGTTTCGTCCGTCATTAAAATCTCCGTCACGTGAGGACGTCTCCGATTACATACTTGGTTCATTTTTTGGAACGAAGTCCAAACAAATTCGACCAGCTTCTTCCGCTTTTTCTACTAGGAGGAGTTTGCTTGACGTCCATTTCCATTTTCTCGTCTTCGTCTCCTTCGACCCCATGCTTGCCTTTAGATCTGGGCTTTTTACCATGTTCGCCCACCTCTGATTTCACCTCTGACGGTGATGCCCGTTGTTTCTTCGCCATACTCCTTGTTGTCCGAACGATAGGCATATCTTGAACATTGTCATCCTCCTCATCCTCTTCCCCGTCAGTGTCCAAATCCCTCCAGTCAGATCCCTCCTCTCTTTCCAAAGCTGACGGCAGACCCTTTCGTTTCCCCACACTTGTTATTGTAACCTCAACCCTATCCTGCTTCTCACCAACTTGGCTCGAGGTCCCTTGAGGAGCCGGCACTAGTGCCGCTGGAATTCCGGTTCCAGAGAGGACAGATGTGGACCGCCGGAATCTGCGCCGCTTTGTTCTACCTTGTGTCCCGAGCAAGGCAGTGGGAGAGACGTCCGGCCCTGAGATTTGAGACGTCTCTGTCCCAGCATCAGAGTGGATGATCGACGTCGCACGGGCTAGCTTGCGTTTCTGAGATCTCGTCCCCATGCTTGGTCCTTGGCCCGGTTCTTTCAATTCGGACGGTAGAGCGGATGGTGTGGCAGGTGGGTTTTGACCAACGGCGTTCACGACAGATGCGGATCGCTGTTCTCTGTCGGTCGATACTGAGGAACGGGAAGTGCCAAAAGCGGACAGGCGAGCACGACGGCGTGTCATCGGCGGGGTAGCAGCGTCTATGGGCCCACTTGGTACGGAATCATTGGGAGGAGCCTGTTCATCCCCGTCATCGTGAGCACTTGTGACTGTCGTGACGCTTGTCCTTGGTCTACGAGGGGTGTTGGACATCGAAATCGTTCGATGTGTCTCGTGAGAGTCTTCGGCCAGGGCGTTCGGTCCAGCTTCAAGCAAAAAGCAATCTCCCCCAGCAAACACTTTAGTCCCCACTAGACGATGTAGCTGTGTGGCTAGGAGAGGATGTAGCCGGGGGGTCGATTCCGTGATAGGAGCTTCCATACCTCGCCGCTGCTGGGAAGAGGTAGGCACACCCATGGCATGACAACCTTCCTCTTGAAGGCGATCTGTATCGGCGAGAACACATTGAGGGGCGAGTACGACAGCAGTGAGCTCTTGTGCTGACAGGCGAAGCTTGCGATAAAAGCAATGAGACCGTGTGACGGGGAGGTGTCCTGACGGCGAGACTGATGGGCGGCCTCGCCTTTGGGTGAGGCGGAGGGGAACACTTGAGACCGTGGGAGAAGGAGGAAGAGAAGGAGGCGGAACTGAGCCATGATGGTGGCGGAGTAAAGGAGAGGCTGTGCGCGGTGACGATGGTTCATCTGAGTCGTCGACATCTATTATCTCTCTCACGCCCTCAAACGCTGAAGACGTAGCCGTCTCTCCAACGATTGGATCCTCAATAGTACCAGTCTCCGAGACTATGACATCGCCTTCTTCAGAAGCTCGCACATCTAGTGGCATTGCTTCATCTTCTAGTATGACGGCAAGACCTTCCGGCAGGGTATCGTCTTCAAGAGCTACATCAGAGTGCTCTCCTACTTGCTTCGTATCAAGTTCCGGTTCCTGGGATGGGCCTGAGCGTCGCATGACTTTGTCCAGTTGATCCGGCCAAATTGGGATGGGCATACCACCCGGCTCGGTCACTTCCTCATCTTCAAGAGGTTCGTCCACTTCCGCCGCCCGATCGTCCAAGCTCTGATATGATAACGCAGGTTCATGCGAGGATCGATCGGTTTCGCCGATGGGCATAGAAAGCTCCCATCCCGACGGTAGATTGGGGGACAGGGCAGTGGGCGCTCGGGTGTCTGTGGGCGTTTTCTGGAGGTTTAGAAATCCCGTCGATACACCTGGAGACTGGACAATGTGCGCTGGGTACTCAGGAGTGGCGTCTATGATAAGAGGATGGAGTGGCGGTGGAGGGCAAGGTGGTCCGATCGGCGAGGTCCCGATGGCTTCTGCGGGTGTGGGAGCCTGAAAATCCACCAAGGTCCGCGTTGGTGAAGGAGGAAGAGGAGGAGAGTCTTTGCGTTCGAAGACAATATCCTGTTTGTCGTCCACTTCAACTCGATCCTTGATAACAACCCTAGTTTGCTCTTCCTGAAAAGATATTGGCACTTTGACCGCATGTGTGTGGAGAGAGAGTGTATCTGTGGCTCGGTCAAAATCAGCCTCCAAGTCGGTCGCAAATGCTGGAGACGATGATCCCTCGGACAAATGTTTCATGCCGACATCGATTGTGGGCGCCGTTGCAGACTCCATGGGGGCTTTCATTGGGTTCTGAGGAGTTACGCTGACTTGACTAAGTAGTGCTGCCTCAGCCGAATGAGACGTTTCGAGAGGTTCTTCGAGTGGTTCCTCAAGTTCTGGAGCATCTTCTTCAGATGTATGTAAAACAAGAGGTGCTGGCGGAGCCCATGAAATATCTGGCACACCCTCTACAGTCGAGTCATTGATCATTATAGGCGAGGGGCTGGGGAGTATCTTTGGTAGAAAGTCGACGAGCATATCCTGTTCCACTTTCGGGATGCCCAAAGTATCGATGGGGTCTGTCGTCTTGACTGAGTAATGCTCCTCGACGGACATTCTCAGCAGTGGTGCAGATACGGGCTGCTCGCGGGGCGATGAGGTATCTTCACTATTCTCTTCGTGATTTCTGTGTTCTCTCTCTCTCGTATTATCTACCACCTCAAGTTCGTGGGATGAGGTCCTTGACAACACATTTAGCAATGTCGGGCTTTCATCGTCCTCTGTGCCGGATCTCTTCTCGCTCTCATCGTCATCCGAGGAATCACTGACCAAGATTGGCGACCCTGTCCTATTAGCCTCATGAGAAGACAGAGAGCATTGAACTTACTGGGCGATTCATCCCCGTGGATCTCTTTAATGCATTCGTCTTCGTCACCGTCTTCGTCCTCTTCCTCTTCCTCCTCATTCTCTTCTCCCGATTGGCTGTCTTGCAATTCGTCCTCCTCTCGTGCGCCTGCTTCATCGTCGTCCGTTTCTTCATCGTCACTTATTGAACCCACCTCCTCATGATCCTCATTTCCGACGGCATCGTCCATATCTCCTTCTACGTCGGAGTCATCCTCAACGAACAGTATCTCTTTGTCGTGCAACCTGTCAGCAGGGTTCAAACTCCGAGATGATTGACCAGTCCATTCCGCCGGAGAAGTGATACGTCCGTCAAGCACTTGAGGTCCTCTTTCGTCTGCCCTTGCTCCCCCGTCCCCTATACCGTGAAACATGGGCTGCAGGGCAGCAGCTTCTTGAGCCAGTTCCGTCAGGAGAGTCGGATCGATCATACTGTTGTCGAAGAATATATCAGCAGTCGAAGCAGCCTCATGCGGAGAGGCAGAGAGATCGGCGGGAAGGGCAGGGATTGATGGATAGATTGGTGACGCGTAAGGAGATGTGGTTTGCAACCCTTCGGGAACAGGAAGCGACGGATACAAGGAGGTATATGTCGTGGAGGTATTTGCCGTGTCCATCATCGCCATTGATGACGGAGGCTGAAAAGCTTGACTATCGTGATTCAGCTTGAGTTTCAGTGGGACAGTAACGTACCGTTCGTCCACTGATCCTGTATCTGTCTCCTGTGACGCCAGTTCTTGGATAGTTCCCGCACTTATCCGAGCAAGACCGTAGGGTCTATCCTCATTTTTGACCTCCAGCGCCCCCTGTAGGTTCTCTTCTTCGTTGAATTCTCTTGCTTTCTCCTCCGCCTCTTCCTCCTCCTCCTCCTCTCCCTCTTCCTCCTCCTCCTCCTCCTCCTCCTCGTCCCCCCCTTCCTCCTCCTCCTCGTCTTCATAAGCACTGGTTCTCGGTCCATGTACGTCCGACGTGTACTCTTCCCACACAAATTCGTCTTCATCTATAGACTCCTCTTCTCTCGTAGCCTCCTGGTCTTCATCATCGCTACTCTCAATATACTGCACGCTGCTGATATCATCCGACCCATCAGAATTCTCCTCGGAGCCATCGTTCGTATCTTCATCCTCCTCTTCAAATCCCTCTTCTTCCCCACCCGCTTCCATGAGGATATCGGCATCTCTGATCAAAGGGTCCTCGTCTTCCTGATCGTAGCCGCTGGGCTGCGAACCCCCCTGGTTAGCATCACCCCTTTCCGAGACGCCAGCATCCTGACCCGGAAAATCACCGAGGTTCTTGTCAACAGACTTATCCACGCTAGATGGAGTGTCCGATCTCTGCATGTGATCTACCCTGTCATCCGGTATAGGTGAGGGTCGAAGCTCTTCGGTGACTCGTAAGGGAGAAGGTGAGCGAGGAGGTGGAGAAGGAGAAGGATGTAGGCCGCGCTGAATCTTGTCGATCAGACCCTCCATCCAAGCCTTCCGAGCTTCATCGGGAAAAATGGCGTAGGCTGAGGGTAGCTGGACGCGAGATGGAGACTGTGTGGGGAAGGGAGACACCATGGTGAGTAAGAGTGCAGAGGTGATGCAAGAAAGAGAGAGAAAGAGAGAGAGAGAGAGGGGGAGAGAGACGAGCTTGTGACGTGCGGGATTCCTAGGGTCACGTGACTCTATTATTTTTCCCAAAGTCGTCGTCCCGAGTAAGTAGTCAAGTAGAGAAACTACAAGTATCTATCGTATATTCACTCACGACAAGGCATCCTCGTATCTGCTTCACGGGCCACAGAGCCGGCAGTATGTTACCTCAAGAGATCATCCTCTCGGCCTGCTCCACTTCAACGCCGGGAGCAGGACCTTCTCGTCCCAACACTTCCCTCGTTCCTTCCATCCAAGCTCATGATCTCCTTACCTGTCTTCCTCTTCACTCGTACAAGTCTTCCACCTCTGCTTTGCATTCACTTTCCTACGTCCCCAGTCGTAATGGACAAGGTGGTACCATCATGGCTGTTCAAGAGAACAAGTCACTCCTCTACGTCTGGGCATGGCAAAAGGTGAATTACACCCCTCTTGGCTCGACGATTGTCACTGATATACCGCAGGATCAGATGCTTTCCAAGTTACATCTCCCTGACAAGTTGACATGCTTTTCAATATCTCCCAACGGTGTATGGGCAACCGGTGGTTCTCCTGGAGGTCAGATCTATCTCTGGGAAGTACGTCTGGCACAATGATTAATTCAGAGGAGGCTTCGCTAACCTTACCAGTTGGCCTCTGGTACCCTTTTGAGCTCCTTTTCCGCGCACTACCGTCAAGTAGTGTCCCTCACCTTTACTCCAGACTCTCGACTACTTCTCTCAGCCTCACTCGACGGCTCTATACACATCCACCTCGTCGCTAGATTAGCAGAGGCCGATCACTTGGGAAAACCATATGGCACTCTGAGAGATCACACGCTCGCTATACGAGATGTCGTAGTAGGGAAAACTTCTGGCGTTCATGGAGGCCGATGTTGGACAATATCAGATGATGGAACTGTCAAGGTGAGTCTGGCTAATGACGCTGCGCGGGAGTGTCTCGCTGCAGATAATGTGGCTGATCATTTAGATGTGGGACCTACATCCGCCCTTTGATCTGCTCTGCACTTTCTCTCTCACCCCTGCATCTATCCCCACCGCGTTGGTCGTGGATTCTAGTGAACGATTCTTCTATGTATCAACGTCTAATGGAGACATTTTCTACGTCCCATTGTTCAGACGCCGAGACGAGGTGGGAGGATTGGGCGCTGTCGAAGCTGTGGGAGGAGGAGTTTTCGGAAGCAGCGCGGTCAAGTTAGAAGGTGGCCGTGTCATATCTCTCAAGTAATTCCCATTTTATCTTGCAATGGAAATTCACTAATCGTCAGAACGGCCATAACAGCTCTGGCCCTTTCCATCACCGCTTCACACCTATTGGTAGGTACAGTAGCTGGCACCGTTCAAATACACTCCCTCCCCTCTCATCAACACCTCAGTACGATCTCCCTACCCGGCCCATGTTCATACATTTCCACTCTACCCCGTCCGCCAGACATGCCTGTCGGCCCGTCGACGACGACCAAAGATCTCTGGCCGGTTATGGAAGTAAAACCTTTGGAACGGGTGAAAAACCCTCCTTCTTGGCGGACCAGGGAAGCCTCGATCTTACTTCGGGCAGATCTAGATCGACTTGACAGCTTGAGGTCAGTACCGGTCACCAAAGGGAATTGCGCTGGTCTTTCTGTGGCAGTGGAGAGTCAGGGAACCAGATATTCTCTCACAGAGGAAAAGCTGCGTGTGCTGCAGGAGGAGAACACTGCCCTGAGAGAGGGACTGGAGAGGGCAACAAGGATTAACGAGACGATGTGGAGGAGCATCGTCGATGGAGTGGTGGAAAGTGAATCATCTTGAGCCATTCCGTTTGATGACGGCATCGGGGCAAGCTACGGTCGTGATATATGCATGGTCATGACAGTTGAGAACAAGATGGACAGATATTCATTCAGAGATGTACTCGTAGAGTTTTTGGATCGAGGTGTTGAGTCACAATTCGAACAAGCGGCGGGTGTTGGAAGCAACAGAGGTCATGGTCAACCCCTATCCATCAGCCGGCGTCTTTACCACCCACCACTTCGTCAAAGCCAAGTAGAGAAGATAGCATTGACACTGCGCATTGAAGGAAAGAGCTGACTCACAGTACCTGTGCAATGGTTGTTTGAGCTTGTCGGGATACATGAAAGGAATCGACACCACTCGCATGCTGCATTCTATTATATCAGTATGTAGAACTGATGACAGCGACTTTGTAATCTCTGGGTGGGTGAGGGTGGGGGGCTCACTGGATCTGCTGTGTCTGACACCATCAGCGGGGAGCTCACGTCACGGACAAGCGGACTACTCACAGAAGTTCCGTATGGTGAGGACGAAAGCGACAATGATCAATGGAAGGGCCAAAAGGCGTAACGTCCAAACAACATTTCGGTGTGATTTCGTCTCGCTGATCGAAGGGTAGAGGATGATACCCATTAGTAATCCCATGGCAAAACCCTGTGAAGTAAGCCCGCGGATCCTTCAGGATCTAACCTCTGTCCGTTATCACCACGGAGCATGACAACTCGTGATCTCATACAACCAAAAGAAGACCCATCAGGCCACTGCCAGACTCGCGGTTCTGAGAGGATAAGATGGACAAATCACTCACCCCTAGATGTGCGAGACCATCGACTGCATTCGGACTGTCAAGTCAACTTTCAATTTTTTGCGATACTTGTAGGGGAGCTTTCGTGGAGCAAATCGGACTCACATATACCCAATGGCAATTCCCACGCAGAACTCAATGAGCAGCAAAAAAGCCTAGCAACGTCAGCTCCAGAACGATTCCACCCCACAAGCACAGGACTAACCTTCAGCTTGGGTCTTGGCTCGTACTTCCAATGCAGTCCCAGATCGACTGTGACACATGCATTCTGAACGTCAGCAAGATTCACAAGACGTGATACGACACTCACGATGGCAAACAACGCGCCCGAAGCTCCGACTGATGGGATTCCCGTTCGAGAAAAATTGCCGCCTAGCACGAATCCGTAGATACCTCCAGCCATGTAAACCATCAAAAAGGGTATCGTGCCCATCTCTCGCTCAATTTGAGCGCCGATAGTGACTTGTGCGGCCATATTGAGTAAGAGATGGATGATGCCCACGTGTAGGAAAATCGGAAGAACGAAGCGCCATGATTCTATACGGGTCAATACCACTTCGAATGCAGACGTCCACAACCAATCCGAGTGTGTTCGAGTTGGCATATCTCATCGAGACTCACGATCCGGCTCTTGACCATGAAAGCCGCCATGACCACAGAGCTGTTCGATGGAACATGACGTGGTCGGAGGGCTGACTGTCAGCTTTGACCATTACTGTAAGGGTGTGGTTGCTTACTTGGACGTATCATTCAGACATGCAAGCTGAAAAGTAGGCGGTATGTCGGCAACGTCCTTCATGCACCTGATAAAGTGAGCCAGCTGTGTATGGCATATGAGCGCCATGCAGCTCACGGAGGGAATCGAGCTCCAATATTTATTAGAACCTCAGCAGAAGGACCTATCTTCGAAAATCAGTAGGGGTCATGATGAAAGACGAGATGACATGCCATGTAGTTGAAGCTCGGCTGACGATCAGTTAAGCGACCCTAACCATGGCAACAACACTTACTTTGATTGCTATCGGAGTACCTTGGGCGACATGATTCGCTACGAGTTCGTAAATCAGTACTGCAGTCATAGCTAAGGTTCAGTTTGGCCTCGAACAGTCAAATATGTCAAGAGCCAACCCACCGACTGCAAGTCCCCAAGCGGCCACGGGCCATCTTTGTCCACCTATCCCCCTCTTCTTGCGCTCAATGGCCTGTTCCACAGGGGCAACGCCAGTGTCTCGCCCAAATAACGCCAGGAGCCTATCCAATCCACTGGGGAAGAGTAATAATCTCCAAAGCCTTCCCCCTCGTTCTACACTTCCAGTGGTCTGACTAGGCGGGTAAGGCCAAGGGCTTTGCTCATACTCTGCAAATTTGACGCCTCTTTCCGCACCACCCATATCCGCCGCGTCGGCGACGAGCCCCAGTGTCTCCACATTCTGATCTCTCTCTTTGGCAAGGGCCATGTCGGAAGCAGGTCGAGAAGAATCTGATTTGTAGTATGCGCCCTCCTCGTCGATGTAGCTCAAACCGCCGAGGGAAGGCTTATTTTTGACCTTGAGCCTCGCTCGGTCAGTCAGAGGGGCTCGAGTGGGTTGAGGGAGGGGGAAATTGACGACGGATGGAAGAGGGGAGCGTTGTGATGCCGAGTCCCAGGGCCCAATGGATGGCGATGACGGACGATTCGGGGCTTGTACAGAGTGAGGATCTTGAGGCAAGCCGTCCGCAAGCAGTCCCAATGCGGCTGGAGGATAAGCCGCGAGCGGATGTCCCTCTGCCAGATCCATGTGGCCTCGGGCGTCATTCTGATCTGGTTCCCGAGAGACCGACAGGGGTCGTTGCTGCTGCTGCTGTTGCTGCTGCTGGATATTTTGTGACTGTAGCCATTGCCGTTGCAGATCCTCGGCGGGGGAGTGACCATGTGTGGGGTATGGATTCGGTTCGAGGACAGTGGTGCCGCTTTCGGGAGAAGACTGATGCGGGAAAGGTCTCTGCGATGACGGGGGAGATGATGGGAAAGCAGGACCTCGGACGTCTGACGCTGGGTATGTGGAATCGGGGTTGGGATAGGATGGAATCTGAGCCGGAGAGGGGTTTGGCCGTGGACCTGTGAGGGGCATGGTGAACCTGAAGTGTGAGATCTTGTGTGAGAAGTGAAGGGAGATGGGGAAAAGGTGCTGAGAAGCGGAGTTGTGACGTACTTTGTGTGGGAGAGATCAAAGGACCCAAATCCAAGGTGGGCAGCGGACGAGTACGACTGGCTCGTGAGGTGGGGGGTATAAAGGGCAGTCAGCGCAAACCGGGGTAGCAGGTAACAGGTAGCACTAGCAGCGAACAGCTGTGACTGGCTGATGTCAAGGGATCCTTCGCTGTCAGAACCGAGGGATGGATGGGCTTGGGTGAGAGAAGAGATACATGAAGCAGGTAGCTTACTAGCTATAGCATGTATAGCAGGTAGTAGGTGATGAGTGATGGGATGCATCGATGACGGGGTACTTAGACGTTGTCGTTTCAAGCTAAGGTCAATGTGTCAACGCTGGACCGGCCATCGCCGCTGTACCGCTGCCCCCGTGACGTCTCCACTTAGCCTAAGTATCCCTCCCTCTCGCCGCTTACACTTGGCCGCTTTCGTCTTTTACCCCTGCATATCTCACCCTATAGGTACGACGTTGCTCAACCATTCATCCCACAGAGGCCACCGACCACCGACCGTTCCTCTCCCACCCCCTTGCCATGTTCAACAATCCTCGTCGAATGTCAGGCCAGCTGCTCTCCTCGTCCTTCCTCACCCCGGCTGCCAACTCCAACAACAACTTCGATCCCCTTGTACGGTCAACTCCAAACGTCGCCTATGGCGATGTCGATCCCTGGAGTGCATCGCCTCTACCCGGTCCCCGTCCGGTATCCACAACTACCACACCCAAGCTCCCCGCCGATGGTCAAGAAGGGACGCCTTCCGATGACATCCGTCCGTCCAGTTCCAAGGATGGTCTCAACGGTTTGATAGGTGCGCGCTGTCTGATCAAGGCTCTGTACGTACCGCAGCTGACGATTCAGAGGATCCTCCTGCAATTTACCTCAGTCTGTTGGACTCTCTTGACCCATCCCCTTCAGGTGACCTGTCCCTGGCCAGCGTTCACCGCCTCCTCGCCACATCTCAACTCCCAGCGTCTACAGTCGAAAAGGTCAGTCTTGCGTTTCAACAGAAGCGTCTCTCACGTCTTCACGCATCTTTGAGGTGTGATAGTTCTTCCGAAGCGAGCTGTATCGCATCATCTTGACAAATGCTGACCGGTTAGATCATCAATCTCACTTGCCGGGACAAAGCTCGACTGACGCGGGCTGAATTCTTCTGTACTCTGGCTTTAGTCGCTTTGGCGCAATCATCGGATTCAACAGACTCGGAGTTGTCAATCGAGGCTCTTATCACCGCAATACCGGACCTTCCACTCCCTCGCTTGATCGTTCCTGCTGTATCGGCTTCCAACGGGTACTCCGTCCCCTCGACCCTAGGTCCATCACCTTGGGACACTACACCTCGTGTCAGTGGTCATCCTCAGCCGCCTGCGACTGTATCCAATCCTGGATCCAGCTTTGCCGAGTCTAGTCGAGAACTAGAAGCTCAAAAAGGGTACTGGCAACGTTTGGAGGTGATCGAAGTAGTCTTGATTGCCGAGAAACAGGGGTGGTTTTTGCAGAAATACATGGTTTCATCGTCATCCCGTTCTTCATCTCCCGTCTCTCGGCGCTATTCAGACTTTGTGTGGCTGCTGGACACATTGATCAAACGTTATCCATTCCGACTGTTGCCCGCTTTACCCCCGAAAAAGATCGGCCCCGGCGCCAACTTCCTCGAACAACGCCGCAAAGCCCTACGAAGATTTCTCAACATGGTGGTCAATCATCCCGTGCTCAAAGACGACGGCGCTCTCAATGTGTTTCTCACAGAACCCAACTTCGAGGCTTGGAGGAAGAGAGTGAAAGTCTCCACGGAGGAGGAGAGCGCCAGCAAGAAACTCAATCCTGCCCAAGAGATGGCCATTCCCGCTGATCTGGAAGAGAAGCTAGGGGTACTCAGAGATCACCTCCCAGCTGTCCTAGCGAGTCATCAGAAGCTGGTGGCAATCTCAGAGAGGCAGGTGGGAAGGATGCAGGCAGCATCTGGAGATGCTGTACGCTTGAGTATGGCGTTGCAAAGTGTGGGCGAGGAAATGCCCTCAGCCTGCTATCGATGTGCTGGGGGAGGTGAAGGGTGTTCTCTGTGTCAAGGTGTTGCGAGAGGGTTGACCGAGGTTGGCAGTACCTGGGCGAGAGCCGCGGAGCTTGGGGAACGACGGGTCAGCTTCAACATTAGACGTCTCAAAGTATACGCTGACATATAACAGGCTAACGCCCTGTTAGTGGGCAGTCTGGAGTCGCTAAAGAGTCAGAGAGATTTGTATCTTGCTGCAAGAGATTTGTTCTTCAGGCACGACCGTGAGTCTTCTCCTTTGTCTGACACCTTTTCGATCGCCTTGAAATCGGCTCGAGTGAGATACTGCTCCACTGGAATCCTCACCGCATGAACCAGCTGCACCCACCCACCCTGCGGTTGAAGTGGAGTACTCCATGGATGGACCTAACCCTCAGGTCTGTCAAAAGATTCTGTCGACGCACTCCGCAAAAAAGTCGACGGTAGAAATAAAAAGCTCGAGATACTGCGCCAAGCGGCTAAGCCTGGCTGGGAGACAGAGGCCGATAAACTCGTGTCGGCCACAGACCAAGATACGGGGGCTATCAACAATCTACTCTCACGGCGAGTGTTCATCAGAGCTTGTATGTGGCACGAATTGCAGGTGGTTTTCCACACTCGACAAGCCGCTCAAGCGACTCTTGGATGGAGGGATTTCGTTCGTGACGCCGAAGGCGCTGCGAAGGCTGACGCGGCACTGTGGGGTGAGCTGAGCGAAAGGCTGGAGGGGGTGCCGGTGGAGTGAGCCAACGACGAGCTCTTGTCAACGCCAATAATTCTTTCTCTTGTCATTACTTCCAGGGTCTTTCTGACATTCGTTGTGACGATGTAGACATCTTAATCACGGCACTTTGCCTAAACAAGTACCGATAACGGAGTTGGCCATTTATGCATGTTAGTCTATCGCTTTTCTCGCTGAAGATCCAATATGTGTGATCGATCAAGCTAGTTTTTTGAACACCTTGGGGGCAGCACAGGCCTGGATGTGAGCTGATAGACTTACCGCAGGAATGGTGCAGGAATTGATGTGATGACAAAAGAGACTCACATCCACACAGTGCATCAAGTGGAATAGTTCTTCGACGCAGTCCTCCCCGTGCCAGCCTTTGCCGGCTTCGACTTTCTCCTGGCAGTGCATGAAGTGTTTCGCGGGTGCGGCGCATTCGCTATCTTGACAATCGGCTCGGATAGCAGGAGCGGGCTAATCATCAACATCGGTACGGTGACGGCTTTATCAGTGTTTGAAGATGCAGTGATCTCGATACCACGAGCCAGGACTAGTGCCAGTAAAGCAGGAATTTGCGATTGTAAAGAGAGAGGGAAGTGGTGACGTATCCGCTGGAAATACCCGTAGAGACGGAGTGAGAAGAAAGAAGAGTATGATACGCAGTCTCGACGGCATACGGTGGAGGTGCAAAGACACATCGCCAAAGAAGCACTCAAATAGAATTGAAGACAAGACTCACATCTTCAGGCTCTTCTTCTTCTTCCTCCTCTTCCTCCTGCCCACCGTCTGCCTCGTCTGCCTCTTCTTTTTCCTCACCATCGTGCTCCTTATCATCGACTTTGGCTGGTGATTCGGCGTGGGCACTGAAAGTATGAGCACTGAAGCTGTTGGGGGGAGGGCAAGTGTGTAGGGGAACTGTGAAAGAACTCACGTAGGTAAGAAGAAAGATGCGATACTGGTGAGGAAGCCCTGTGACTGTTGTTCCTGTTCTCTCCCCTCCATAATCTCGACAGATGCTGAATGAGAGGATGACATGACGACGACGAAGGGAGGCCGAACGGCTATGGATGAGTAGTAGTTTTCTTAGGGAGGATGAGAAGGGGGTAGGGTCAGTGAGGATCGGGAGTTGGCGGAGAGTGGGTTCAGACTGTAAATAGTACCCCCTGTTAGTGTCCACATGCTACATCGCTCCTCTCTTTGCCTGCCTCCCTTACTTACCTGAAAACATCTACAATCCGGCATAAGGCTGCATGTTTCATCGTCTAGTCACATTGGTATTTCGAGGTCTATAAAAAGAGAGGCAATTGAGCAAAAGAGAAAGAACTGTTCGACTATCGTGATTGTTCGCAAGAGACCAGTCGAGACCAGCACGGCACACACTATCTCATCTACGGCAGAAATTCTGAACTTTGTCCCATTCCTCTTACATCTCTTCCGAACCGCCCTGGAGGAAAAGCCAGTTGCCCTCCTTGCGCTTGGGGATGCATAGAGCAGAGACGGATGTCGAGTTGGCGGACAGCGGGGTCTCGAGAGTGTAACCGTGGTGGCACGAATCTGCAATCAGTATTCAAGAGCCGTGCAAGTAAAGGAGGATACGGGCGTTCTGGACGATCTTGGTAAAGATGATAACAGCCGACGAGTCGATGGGGACACTTACCGACAATGCAATGTCCCTTCGAGCACCGAACCTCATTCACACCAGGTAAAGCGGCACAGTCTACTCGTCAATGACATTATCCACCACATGTATGTCTCATCGGCGATGAAACTCACCCAACGCTTCTCCCTTACACCCTCCACAGGCGTTGAGGTCGAACCACATGCTACTCGTCAGCGACTCGATCACGGTGGCGATGACGCTGAGGAAGGATCGAACAGGGAGAAGCTCACTCCTTGCAAGCCCAGTGCCTGTCCATTTTGCATGCTTTTTCGTTAATCTCACAACCCATCAAGTCTTCGAGCTCGCGACTCTCTACGCCGGACTCGCGGACGTCAATCGCTTCGTCGAAAGAACGTTTATGCTCGATCGAGGCGCGCTTGGAAGGAGGGGGTTGACCATTGACGGTGCACTGGAGTTTGCCCTTTTTGTTGAACGTTGCAGTGTATCCGGCCTTGACGTGAGTTCTGTCCCGTACCACTGTTCATCATGATGGAAGTTGAAGGTATCATCACCGACGCTTAACACGAGGGCGTGAGATTGAAACCGGAAAAGACAGCTGGAAGGTGGGGGAACTCACGTCGCAGACGCAGGTGGCACCAGAATTGGCACTGATCAAGTATGCTAGCGGTCAACTCTGTTCATCACGTCTCACTAAAAAGATGAAGACTCACTCTGATGTTTGCCAGGGCAATCACAGGTCACGGACTCCTTGTAACCTCCGTGAAGGTATTGAATGACGACCTTGACGGCGGCACCATCGTGACACTTACAAACTCCTTGAGTCGAATAGAGACCGGCTGGGCACTCACATCCCGTCGACGTACCTGGTCCCGTGCCAGCGTTACAACCGTGCTGGGCTGCAAGCTGGGTGGTGGCTGCTCGAGGAACCGCGTTTGCGATGACGAGAGGTAAGGAGATCAGGGTGAGCACACCGAGGACGATTGGGGAGAACGAACGCATCTTGTGGTTGTCTCTATGTGGTTCGTAATCGGAAGGAAAGAGGGGAAGGACAGAAGAGAAAGTGAGGAGGAGGAGGAGAAAAAAGACGATGTGGGAAAAAGCTGGACGGGAAACGAGAAGATAAAAGGTAGCGAAGGGACGACGAGGATAGGAGATGGGAGATGGGGGTGGGCGCAGAGGTGAGTGAAAGATTTGAGAGACGAATCTTCTCCTTGTTATTCACCGTTGCTCCTTTATCAGTCTATCCCTGTAGCTATGCAGTCTGCCTCCTGCCTGTTCCAGTCAATCAATCAATCAATCTCTATCCTTGTCTGATCGCCGCGCCCTAACCAATACCCGCAGTCGCTTTTTTTATCCTTTCTCACACACAGGTAGCATGATGCACGTATTCATTCCATCAGAGCCGAACATCATCTGGATATCTGTTCCCGCTTCATCTGTCTCTGGCTCAAATCTATGACGATGCCTGTCTCATGCATTCGTCATCGACTCTAGTTTAGCCATCGCAATTCGTGCGCCCGGTTCGATACTCTTCGGCCGTTTCAGGCATCAGGAAGATTCCGATAACGTTACAGAAGTCCCTGATGTCGGTGATGAGTCAGTGGGTCAGTGGCCAGTGGTTTTGTTTCAACCCCTATCATCAGCCAATGGTGTGGAGGTGATTGGAAATGTTGGACACAGGGGAATGTGACTAGGGTGGACAAGATGACGGATGACAACGAGGACAGGTAGGATCTCATGGGCCATGGGGATAAGCCATGGTGGTACGGCATGTACATAATGGTGGCGTGGTGGGGGAATCGCTTCCGAATCTGATTTATATGGTCGGTCGGATATGTACGTCGAGCCACACTCTTTGATCAGAGATCCTCACCCCCTAACATCCTCGCCCCAGTCGCCCTCGTCCTGGTCGCCCTCGTATATCCAATGGCGATACCCCCGACGAGATCCCAAATGGTGCGTGTGGGACTGTCTCGGTGGACTGGACGGAAGGTGATACCACTATTCCCGGTCAAAGAGTCCTGCAGGATGTCAGAGCGAAAGTCTCTGCTTGGCTTAAAGGGAGGATGCAATGTCCCGGGTTTCAAGCAGATCATCTTCAGCTTTTAGCGGCTAGTGGGCTAAAGGGGAGATGATCATTTGAGAACCAGCGGCAGTCAGTTGCAGTGGGAATGCATACCATGTCTTTGCGGTATACGACATCAGGCGTCACGACCGATCAGTGTGTATATGTACAAAATTTACTCTCGCATACGCCCCGTACCAGCACTTGACTCTGCTTCGTACACTCGTACCCTTTTCACCCTTGACGTATGTAAGTATGTTATATGTGTATTCCTGCGGCCTGCGGCATGCGACTGCGACAGAGTAATGGCGTACGAGGAACAGATGGGCAGTGTACAACTAGTGATGTGCTTTGTGCCACTAACGCCCTCTCCGTTTCGGCCGATCGAGACGAGACCCGACTTTGCCGTTCTTGTACTTACCTACACCTAGTCTTCACTACTCTGCACCACCATCTCCACCTTGAGTCTTGCTGTGTCTACGATCGACACGACCCCTGCTCTTGACCTGACCATCATGTATGCAGTGGCTGATTGTACGTACTCTTGCCTTGTTTCACTCCAATCTCGTATCTATGACGTCGCAAAGAGCGAATTTCCAATGGGCAATGGCACCAGTGGATCCAATCTGATCCCAGTTTGTCTCATCCCTGTAGGTCTCGGTACCCCCTCGGTCGCACCTCAGATCGCCGAATGTCAAAGGGTTCTCGCCGCCTCAGGTCTTGAATATCGAATGCATGGCTATGGCACCAACATTGAGGGCGAGTGGAGTTTAGTCATGCGGACCATAGAGCAATGCCACGAGGCTGTTCATGCCATGGGAGCGGCCAGGGTTGCGGTAGGTGCTCAAACCTTACCTTCCTTATCACTCGTTTCATCGCATTGGTCCCCTCTCCCATCATATCAATTACCATTCACAAACACTCGTTATGTACCATGACCATCTTCTATGTCTTACAGGACCCGAGCTGATGTCCAGACGGACATTCGCATCGGTACTCGCATAGATAAAGTCGTCGACGGGGGAGCCAATGATCACAAAGTCAGACGGGTGCAGGAGCTCTTGGCCCAGGACGATGGGTCCCAGAGTAGTAGCGGCAATCGTGAGCAATGAGTTCCAACCATGCATGTCATGTCTGTTCATTATGGCATATGCCCCAATCACCATAATCATCCTTCAACTTCCCAACACGCAGTCGCACATTCTTCGATTTGACCACATGCTCCTTCTCTCTACCACGGCTGTACACCCTTCCTGCCCACCACTTTACCCACATCCTTGTCCCTCGATCCTTCGATGACCTCTCTCAAGAAGACTCCACCAACCATGGCGTCTTCTCCACCGAGCCGAGAGAGAAATGCTGCTCCCTTGCCGAGGTTTGTAACGAGTAATCCTGGACTGACGCCGAACACCCTCACATGGTCATTCTCCAGCACCCTAGCCCATTCCCTCACGAGCATACTTTCCGCGCATTTCGCAGTGCGATATGCTGGGATGATCAAGCCCGGGCCGTGATTATTATCGTCCTTGGATTTGTGAATGTAGTATTGGTCGGATTTGGGCCATCCGGGTCCAGGAGCTTGATCCTCAGCCATGACCTTGGCTTCGTGGTTGGCCAGAGACGCGCTGCGGGACGAGACAAAAAGAACCGCTTTTAAAGGATGTGTGGACTCGATGAGCAGGGGCGCAAAAGTGTTGGTGACGACGTGAGGAGAGGAGACGTGAACGGCAAGGGTTTGAGTGAAGGACTCCCGGATGGACATTTGTCCGGAGACGGAAAGGTGGTCGAACTGAGCTCCTGGTGATCAGTTCCCATCTAGGTGGAGAGAATATCAGAGGAACGGAGGCTCTGGGATTGAGACACGATCATGAAGCTCGATGATCAGACCACATGATGATTATGATAGAGAGGAACATTGCAGGGAGCAGAGGAATGGACATTTATTTACCTGCATTGTTCACAAGAATGTCCAAGCCTTGTTCTTTGATCAGCACATGATGATATGCTCGGCGAAGGCTATCATCATCATTGACGTCTAGGACAACGATTCGAGCGCCGCGACCGTCTGCGAAACGATGTTGAAACTCGTCATTGAGTTGAGCGATAGCGTGATGACCTTTTTCGAGAGAGCGACATGCGAGCATGACATGGTAGACCTCTGAAGAATCGAGAAGGGCGCGGGCGAGGGCGAGACCGAGACCAGAGTTGGCACCGGTGATCAGAACTCGGCAAGCAGCTGAAGGGGGTGCATCTGGATCCGTGGGAGGGACACTGCTCATGATGACGAGTGATATGTATGAGTGAACAGGCGATGAGTGATGATCGATGAGTGATAAATGAAGAAGGAGAGAGTCAGGTAGGTGGTGAAAGTCAAGATAGAGACGATGATCGGGGGAGCGCACTCATTGATCATTGACCAATCATGACATTATGTACCTGTCGCCAGGATGCCTGGTCGTCTGTAAGCCGTGCTCGCCATAGCTCACCGATCACCCACCAGAGAGGTGACAAGTGGGACATCGTTGCGTCAGTTCTGGTCCGAAACCAAGTTCCGGAGGAGTGTGATCCGAGGGCGGTCAACACAGGTCCGAGGTGGGATCGAGAAAGGATCAGACGTCAAGTCAAGGATACATGAATGCTATTACACCTCTTCCGTGATGATATATATATGTATATAGTAACCGTGGGCATGTCTGTCATCTGAAAGCATGAGCGAACCGTTGGGAGAGCATTGTTGGTAGGTGATTACTGTCGATGGCGCCGCCTGTGGTGATTGAGTGGATAGCCTCGAGAGGGATCAGTTGTGTTGTCTTTTTGTCGAGATGGAGGACCGAAAGTAATAGGTTTAGGCGAGATTGACGAAGAGGTACAGTGTGTGAGGTATCAACATTCGGCGATCAGAGACTCGAGGTCGGATACCACATCCGTCATCGTCGGCCTTTCAGCAGGGTCCTGTTCCCACATCCTCTCCATCAGGTTGACAGGCTCCGCACCCCAATGTTTACGGAGGCCTGCGATGGACGGACGACGATGCTTGGCACCGACGGCGTCGTAGATATAGTGTTCGTTGTGACCTTCCCAAGGGTATTTCTGTCGTCTGTCAGCAATATTTTCTTTTCGCTTTTCCAGTTCGAGCAGTCAAAAGCCACAGGAAAGGTTGACGAGCGAAGATGGGTGCGGCAAAGTACTCACCTTCTCACCGATCCAACCCGACATCATCTCCCAGAAGACCATGGCCGCCGAAAACACATCCACCTTATAATCGTATCTCGGAGCAGGATGCCAGAGTTCGGGCGCTTGCCAATTCACAGTCCCTACTAAGCTCCTGATCATGCTTCTTGTACTCCTCTTCACCCGAGCAAGTCCAAAGTCGCCAACCTTGGCGTGACCCTGTCTGTTGATCAAAATGTTACTGCTCTTGCAATCTCGGTGGATGATGGCCGGCGATCTCGTATGAAGATATTCGAGACCTCTTGCGATATCCAACATCAAGCCTAGCAGACGCTTGAGACTTGGGCAAGGCACATTTCGTATATAGTCGAAGAGGTCCCCATTCTCGCACAGTTCACTTACTAGACAAGGTAGCTGGCCTCTTTCGTCTGGGATGCAGACACCACGGAAGCGAACGATGTTCGGATGTGAGAATTCCGCAAGCAATTTCAACTCCCGAATGTCCATTTCACTCAAATGTTCCCGGAACTCGGAGATGGCCACTTTGCGACCACGAAGCTTGCCCACATAGACATCTTTGAATCCACCAGAGCCAATCTTGTCCAGCTTCTGCAGCTGATTGGGTCGGATCATGCTATCTTCCAAGCCAAGTTCGGCTAGATCGAGATTGAGCTCTGCATCGCCTGCATGTCTGTTGTCATCGGACAGCGGTGGAGTTGCCGGGTCTGAAACATGAATGTGATCTCTCAGAAGCACGGGTGTGATCTTGCCGGATACGTGTTTGTTCGACCCCACTGCGTGGATTACTCTTTCTTGCTCCGAATGTCTCCTCCGAGGAGAGGAAGAAGGTTTGGCAGTAGCTTCAGAAGAGGAGGAGGATTGGGAGCCTTGATCGTCGTCCACATCAGGAATAACTTGCTCATCTCTCTATTAAGTTAGCTAGTGGACTACGATGGAGATGGGGCATCAAATCCGCGATGAGGTTTACCAGAGCAGGTAAGAAATCTTTCAAGGCGAAGAGGCGTCAAGCGGTAGGGCTCACCCATTCAATCAGGGCTCCAGCTAGCTGCGGTTTCGTCCCACCAACATCCAGACCCCTCGCCTCGCACATTTGTACAAGCTCGTCCCGCAGTAGTCTCGTTAAAGAAGTGACAGTCGCCCCCGTCAGATCCATCTCGGATTCATCGAAGTCACTGTCATCCTCTTCCTCGCCATCGCCGTCCTCTTCCGACTCATCCTCCATGTCTGGATCATCGATGGCCTCCTGCCGGAGACGGCTTCTACGCGTCTGCATCGCCCCAAATGGTTTGCCCGAACGTAAAGTCCGAACTACTGGCATTGCAATACTTGTTCTCTCGCCTAGAGTTCGGTCGTCTTCCATATGTTCGCTTGCGAGTGTGTTCGTCTCGGAATGGTTTGAAGTCATGATCGAAGACATGTGGGATGCACGCCGCGAGCGTCTGATGGGTGGATCAAGCGGCGGTGTCACCTGACTAAGTCTTTGAGATCGAGTCAAAGGTCCCGAAGACGCTGGCTCGTCCGTGACCGAATGCCAAGAACCGCTGTCACTGACGCCATCCACATCCATTTCGTTCTCCTCGGGCCCGTCGCTCTCGCCCTCTCGCAGCGCCTCGATGGCCTTTGTCTTCGCGGCCCTATGAAGTCGAAGGTGAGCGTCGGAAGGGTGACAGGATGCGTCGATTCCCGCTTCCTTGCCTCTGATCATATCCTTCGCCCTCGTCCTACTGCTCGGGCCGGGGCTACCGTCCTCTGAATCTCCCTCATCCTCTCGATCGGCATCGATCTCACTACCAGTGGCACTTCTGAGCGACCCACGCATGCGAGACCAAGCGTTGTTCTTAAAGGGACTAGGTCGTATCTCAACGCTTTTCTGTCGCGAAGCGTGACCGATCGATTCTCGGGAGGTTCTGAAAGCGTGAGAGGAACTCCCAATGAGCACATCGGCCAGCCGACGGGCGGGTGTAAAACCTCGAAGTCTGGCAGGGATCCGTGAGCGCCCATTATTACGAAGAGGAAGAGTGGACGGGGGGGAAGAGTCTGTGGGGAAGGTGCACGTGGATGAGGTGGTCGATGATCGACGGGTGAGCCGACTATACCAGCATGTCAGCGGATGAACCCATCAGATTTCGCCGGCGAGTTGGTGATCCGCTAAAGAAACATGACTCACAGAGGACCTGTTGTTGGGCTCCTGACCTCGTGAGCGAAACGCGCTCTCCGATCTTGCTCTTGAGATCTGTCCCGAAGTCCGGCGAGGAGCCTTCGCCCGCGAAGAATGTTCTTTGTCGTGGTTCTGTGATTTGCAGAGCGCAGGATGGCAACCTCTGTATGAGCGCGAGTGCGGGTACGAGCGACAGCACGCGGAGTGGCGTCCACGTCTGGCCGTCTATACTCTCGACTGCCTGTAGATGACGTGGATGACGTGCTTGGTGATGGGGGACGAGAATGAGCTGGGCTGAGCAGATGTCCGACGTCGAGAGGACCATCAAGCAGCTGGGCCCGAGGGGGGGAGGGGGTTGTTTGTACGCGTCCTTTCGATGTATCGCGCTGCAGTCATTAGCGTATGAATAGTACGGACAGCATACTGACAGCGGCAATGAGACCATCAACCAATCTCTTCTTGCTCAGTCCGCCATCCGCGTCATCTTCTCCTGTTCCAGTGGACATGACATCCCAGCTATCTTCTTCACTCTCCCACATTCCGGCTACTTTCCAGAGCCGCACAAGTTCGACCTTGCGTAGCCGATGCAGTGCGTGAGCGGGCGCATCTCTCAGAAGATGCTGGTCACCTGAACACGTCAGCCCGTCTAACGTGTGACAAGCCAAACTCGTCTGTCAAAGCCTATGAGGAACTGCGGAGCTCACTGTCTGCTATGAATTCGGGCTCGGCCTCGTCCTCTTCCATCTCGACCCAGCTTGACGTGTCCGACCAGAGGTCAGGTTCATGTCTCTTTCGCTTTCGTGGGCTTGAGTCGTCATCCTTCAGCGCTGTAACTTCGAAACGCCGTTCTTTGCTATCGTGTCGTCGCTCTACTGGCCTCGAGTGTTTGATTTTACCCCTTACCCCACCACGATTGACCAATTGAGACCCGATTTCAGAGCTGAGAGGCATGTAGTTCTCCGTACTCGATGGACCCGGACCGGCTTGGGCTGACGAGTCCGAGTCTGTAGGAGTTTGGCCGTCCGAGTCAACGATCTGACTGGCATTGACCGGCCTGGCGGCGAGAGCCGACTGACCCACTTTGCGACGTTTGAGATTGCGGCCGAGAGGGAGACGGGTCTTGCGTGGAGAGCTGACGAAATGCTGACTGCGGGTTCGAGTCAAACGGTTCATATCGGTGAAGCTGGCAAGGAATGAGGGGTAGGAAGACCTTGGACGCGAAGTATGGGTAAGACACGATTGACGAAACTTGAAGAGAGGGGAAAGGGGAGAAGGACGGAGCAGAAGGAGATTATGATGTTAGAAGCGATGGTTTATTGAGAGAGCAGGGTGAGTGACATGGGATGATTGCGGAGCGAGTCACATGTCCATGAAAGAGAGAAAGAGAGCAACGAATAGAGAAGAGAAGTAAAGAGACAAGGTGTATAGGTAGGTAGATAGACAATTAGTAGTAGTCAACTAGTTGAGAGGCGGCTGGCTGGCTGGGCTGGCTTTGGAAAAACGGGGCCGAGAGGGAACGGCTGACGTGTCTTTCTTTTCTTTCCCGCTTTGCATTTTCCATCACGTGACTGTCAGTACTCTATTCGTAACTACTCTACCAACAACCATGTTCACCAAGTTACTTTTCCAAGTTACTCGATACTGCTCTGTCGCTCGGCATGCTATACATCGTCGGGTTGGGATTGAGTGATGAGAGGGACATTACTGTCAAGGGTCTTGATGTGGGCAGGTCTTTTCTTACGTATCACTTGCATTTCCCTTCCTACGTTGAACTTGCTTCCCAGTCTTGATCTTCTCTGCATCTCTCATCCATCCTCTTTGCTGCCATGCTACTCGCATCCCTCACGGCGTTCTCACTGATCATTTAACAGGCCGTCAAAAAGTCTGCCAGGGTATACTTAGAGTCATATACTTCGATACTAATGTGCCCGATCGAGACTTTGGTGAGCTTCCGTGCTTTCCGTTCACCTTCATATATTATATCTGTACCATAGATGTCTGTATAGCGACAGCAGGGCTAACCCGGGAGGAAGCTTTTTACGAGCGAAAAGTCATCACCGCAACCAGAGAAATGGTTGAGCTCCAGGCGGATGAGATTTTGCAAGGTGCCGACAAACTGGACGTTGCTTTTCTGGTTGTAGGCGATCCTCTAGGGTAGGTCATTCGTCCTTCTCTACGGATATTGACCTGTTATCCTCTGCAGAACTTCCCTCGCGCCATTTTACCCCGAGTAGTGCTGACTTCATAGTGCTACCACTCATTCCGACTTGATCTTGCGCGCCCGCTCTCTTAATATTCCGACACAGGTGATACACAATGCCTCAATTCTCACCGCTCTCGGATCTACAGGCCTCCAAATGTACTCTTTCGGTCAGACAATCAGCTTGCCATTCTACACGAGCACCTGGGCTCCCGATAGCTGGTATGATCGACTGGAGGAGAACCTCAGGGTGGGTCTGCATACACTTGTGTTGCTAGACATCAAAGTCCGGGAGCAGAGCGAAGAGAACATGGCCAGGTAGGTCCATCTTATATGCGGGGGGACCACAGTCGTGCTTCCATCTTCTTGAGGCGATCCCTCTCTTCCGTTCTAACTCTGCAATCCCTGCTTATTGAGCTGACGTCCGTGCCAGGGGCCGCTTGATTTACGAACCGCCCAGATTCATGTCACCCCACACCGCTTTCCAACAGATTCTCCAGACACTATCAACTCGACATGCCCGGAGAGCGCCGCCGTCGGACTCGCTTTCCAGTGACGGGACGACACCTGCCTCTCATCCGAACGCCTATCTAGACAATCCCCACACCAACGGTTCTTCCCGCCAGAGCTCCCCTCTGCCTGCTGATGGTCAACCTTTTGCTCCTGCACCCTCTACGCCGATCGAAGAGGTGTCTCCCCTGTGTGTACCAGATCGAACACTCGCCCTGTCCCTGTCGCGAGTTGGTACTCCTACGCAGCGCATCATCGCCGGCACTCTCGCTGAACTCGCGGGCCTGCCGGAGGAAGATTCTGGGCCGCCTTTACACAGCTTAGTAATCGTTGGGAAGAGGCTGCATCCGCTTGAACTGGAATACGCAGGTCAATTCTGCGTTGGTGGTAGAAATGGACAGTGGTGGACAGTTGGGCAGCAGGCATATGGAGTCGCAAGGGAGACGGATACATGACTGGACCCGTCAGGACTTGAGGAGATTGACGGGTTTGCGAAGCCCTATCAGCCACGGACCGAAAGAGAAAAGACGGTGCGTGTAATGAGGGATCGTATGCATATTGCTACAACATGTTTGATGTCTCCCCGGACTGGCTGCACAGAGCGTTGAGAACTCACAGCTTGGCACGGGGGAAGGGGTTCGTCGTTGTTTTGGGTAATGTTGATGTTGGAGGTGTCCAGCCTGGGCCCCGATACCTTGATCGTCGTCAGCATACATATCATATACACTTGGCGTCTCAGAGATTCGCGACGGTGTCCTCATGACCACGGCGGACAGTTGGCAAGCCATGCGACCAACAGATTCGGATCTACGAAGGTCTTTCTGCCTGATCGCAGGCTCGCAGGACGTTAGACAGGAACAAGGCAACATGAGAGGGGTTCAATGGACACTGACAAGGCTGAAAACTCACAGCAAAGTGGATGGAGCAGTGCCGAATTCCAGAGGCAGATCCATGCTCAACTCGTGTACTGCGATGGTACGAAGCATACTGAAATGGTGGATAGCATGTAGAGCGCAAAACCAGAGCTGCGGCGTCAGTGATATCCAGAATGTTCGTGGGTCTGTCGCTACAGCAATGATGGAGATGCTGATAGCGTTACTTGTCCCTGACAGGCTACACAGAGAGATAAATCGTGAGTCTTGGCCTCTATTCAGTAGATGAATGTACCGACAATATGGACCGCTCAAGGAGACAACGAGAAGTGAGTGGAGTGGAGTGGGACTGACCTCTCGTCCAAACGTGGACTTTATTTCTTGCCTTGTCGGTGTCAGAGCAATCAATCTGACCTCCCTCTGCATTTGTGCCGCTAGCCCGCTAACATTTGTTTCACCGGCCACTCCAACGCCGGGGATCCCGTGCTCACTATCCCCTACTTGGCCCAGATTATCACTGCTTCTCCCCCATGCTTCAAGGTCATCCCTGACCGCCCTCAGAGCCGCCTGACAAGCGTCCGCCGAACGAGCTAAAGTTTTGCGCGAAGACGGAAGGGTGGTGTCGTAATTGATCTCCGACGATTGAGCATGACTCTCCTGGCGATAGTCCGCCATCCTTCTCACAGATTTTGTCCCGGAGGGAGATGCCGATGTCGAGTTTGAGACGGGGTGTATCAATGGGAGGAGGAATGCTTGAAAGGTCTCGATCACATGACGAAGGTGTTTGCCGACCGTCCCGCCAGGCATCAACACGGATGGCTGATTGAGCTGAGCATCTGATATACTATGCTGCATGAAGAGATCGAGGGCGGAATCGAGCAAAGCGACGCTGAGTGCTAACAAAGCCTGAGCTCTGTCTTCTTCGTCGGACAGTGGCATGCCGGAGTTGACAGCTGGTGACACTGGGGATAGGGGCATAGACCTGATGAACGAGTGATTGAGTGAGGGTTCATAATGTTTCTTCTGGGATGGAGTCATGAGACTAGATGGGATATGCCAATGATGATGATGCCGCTTGGCTTCGTTCTTAGAAGGATGCAAGAGTAGCAGTGATTTTGCTGAACACTACTGTACAGATCGTTAATGGTTCAATGGTAATTATCGTGTGCCGAGTTTCGGCGCGTAGGGACTAGGAAAGTGTAGCCGGATAGCCGTAAGGTGGCTCACCCGGAAATTGGTCAAACCCCCTTACTGATCACCTATCGCCGCAAATGTGTTGCTACACACCAAAATTGTTATTATGCATGCACACGGAACCCTACACCCGTAAGATAATGCGGCGAACAGTACTCGACCCCTGGCTACCTTCCGGTACCTCTAACATCCCTGCAGCACCCCCTGTCACCGAGGTAGTCGCTTCCGGACCATCCCCTTCCGTGCGATCCTTCCTTCCCTCTCCTCCCCCTTTTTTCTTCTGTTTTCTCTTCTCTGCTGCCGCCTCAATCTCCCGTAGCCTTTCAAGTACCGTCCCACCTGTAAAATTATGTGTTCCAATATTCGAAACTGTAGCAGCTGCTTTCTGTCGCTTTGGAGGCTTGAGAAGAGTGCACAACTCCTGTATCTCCATCTCTGCCCTTGTAAGTTCCGACCGTTCGCTCTCAAGGAAGGCAGTCACGTCTATAAGTCGCTTTTTTATTGGTGTTGCATTGATAGCTGGACTGTTCCGGAGGAGTTCGTCATTCTCGGATGTGATAGATGCTGAGGATTGAGACCGAAGAAGCGGACGGGTAGGTGTTTTATCGGGAGTGGAAAGCATTCGATAGACAACATTGGGATTAAAAGGGTGTAAACCGGACTTCCTCCATCCGACACCAATATGCTCTTTGGTCATTGCCCTCTCCCTAGCAGTCACCAGATCGGCTGCCCACTTTTCTTTCTCTATTGAACCTGTATTGTGACGGATCGCGATATCGGAGAACTTCATCAAATGTCGTTTGAGGGGACTGAAGACACCCGTATCAAGTGGTTGTGTCCAATGTGATGAATGTGAGGGGAGAACCATGACATCTATCGAGTTTTCAATGCAGAAGCTAATGAAGTCGGCCTTCACATGACTCCCATGCCCATCTAGGATAAGAAGACGACGTTGAGATGGATCGGACGGAACTGTCATCGGCTGGAATTGTGATTTTAACCAGTAGCAAGCGAGTGCATTGCTTGACCACCCTTTCAAACTCGTTGTCCACTGCCAACCCTCAATATCTCGATTTTGGGGACGTAAACGAAGGTTGAACTCGGCTTTTCCCTTGAAGATAATGATTGGAGGAAGAGCTCGACCTACAGCTGATACACACTCAATTGCAGTAACCCACTCTTGCCGCCCTTTCTGTGCCTTTACTACCTTCCCCCTGATACTCCTATCTCCTTCTACTACTGTCATCACTTGAGAGGACAGAGTGGTACCAATATTATATCCGGTCTCATCCATATTGTAAATGTTCTCTGGGCGATAATGATGTTGATCTAGGAGTGCTGACATCTCGGTGAACCATTTCTTGATGAGTGTAAGTTCACATCCGTCAATTCGAGCTATATCAATGGCACGAGACCATGTAGTTTTGACTTCGGGATGTCGATTTTTGAACTTCTGAAGCCAGTTGATCCCAAGAGGGAGGATGACGGTGGTATCAGGAATGGGAGAGAGAAGGAGACGGTTTTGACGAAGGTTGTTGGCGAGCTCGGTGATGTGAGCAGGGGATGGAGGATGACCACTCTGAGAAGATCGACAGATGTAATTGACTATGCAGTCTTCTTCCTCAGGTGTTAGGGCTTGGAGGTGACGATGTGATTGCTCACGAGAGGAGGTGTGACCAGATAATCGGTAGGATAGGGTGGATTGGTTGACACGGAAAGCTCGTGCGATCTCTCGTTGACTTTGGCGTTTGGAGGGTGGTAGATGTTGCTGCGACTCATATCTTTGGATAGCGGCCTCAAGAGGGTCTGTTGAGGTCTGCATAATGGACAGACAAGAGACAGAAAGAGATAAACAACACGTTCTTTAGGTGACAGGGAGGGACGCGTCTAATGACACGTCGGACTGATCAATAAAGGGGTTTGACCAATTTCCGGGTGAGCCACCTTACCGTATTGTTCCTCTAACACTTACCCCTTACCCCTGATTCCTCTGGAGGACTCAGTTGTGGATATAAGGAGTGGTATTCTATGATATGCATATTCTTCTTCTCCTTTTGCCTCTCTACATTGTAGACAGCGAGTTATCAATACTGACCACGGTTGCTCATCGTTCGCCGTGTCTTACAGATATCAACTCGCGGATCGAGGGGATGAGAGCCCGGCTGTCAGGGTTCTGCTTCATTAGCCCAATCCGGCTATCAATTTTTTTTCCCACTAAGTATGAATTTCTCTCCTTCTTCATCTCTTCACTGTCACAATGTGGAGAAAAGGTCTAAAACTTACTCAAGACATTATCTGTGCTTCTCCTAGAGTCAAGACTCCTGAGTCTCAACTCGGACCTGCAATTGAAGTGATCAAGACTGCACACCCTTCTGGAGTCAATGTAACGGTCATCGTTTCTTCTCCTCTACTGACCGACGGTTGACAAACCTTGGCTAACTACGTCATAGTGGGGTGTCGATGTCTCACTAGGACAGGGTACTCATCAGGGAACTACGGCTACCTTCGCCGTAGTAATACGTCGAGTGGTAAATGATAAGGTGATCGTCAATGAACTGGGGCTAACTTTGCCGTAGTGCGCCGAACTGCTCGGTGGTAGCTCTCCTTAACTCGAAGGTTGTAGCTACTGAATATATCTCTCGCTACTGACAACAATCAAGGATCGCTGAAGAAGTTCAGCGATCTGTAAACTATCTATACTACTCCTCTCTTCTCATAGAACGTCCCTCAACTCCTGCACTGACTCACGCTCAGTCCTCTTCGTTCAACTTCGCCGTACCTCGCCATATCCCCGATGTCCTACTCCGCTCACTTTGACTAACTTCGCCTAACTTCCCCTGTTCTGCTCTCCCTCGGTTCCCTTCCCCTAACTTCGCCGTAGTTCTCCGCTAGGCGGGGTTATCGTGACAAACACCCTCTAGGATCTCGTAACTTCGTCGTAGTCGGTCTCAGTGGTTCGGGTGGTGGTTGGTGATGGATAGTGGTTCGGTGATGGTGAAAGGAGGGTTGATGATGGTGGTTGTCAGGGATGTTACGACGTGGTTCGTGACAGTCAAGACTACCCAGTCTCAACTCAAAGCCGTATCTGAATGGAAAGTCGAATTGAGACTTGAAGGAAAAGGGACAGTCACAAGTGTAGGTCAAGGAGAACAGACTAAGTGGCGCCAGTCTAGAGCTGAGAAGGAGTATTGCAAAGAAGGTCAGAACATGAGAAAGTGTCGGGTCAGGAGGCTAAAAGACCTTGGTAAGTCTATCTTGCCCTTGCTTTCCACCCTTGCTTTCCACCCTTGCTTTCCCTTGCTTTCCCTTGCTTTTCACCCTTGCTTTCCCTTGCTTTCCCTTGCTTTCCCTTGCTTTCCCTTGCTTTCCCTTGCTTTCCCTGGCTTTCCCTTGCTTTTCACCCTGGCTTTCTGTCACGACCTGTCCCCACCAGATCTCTGAGAAGAATGGAGACAGATGGACTACAACAGTTTACAGGCTTGAGCTATGAAGACTGGTGTATAGCTCTTGGCTTGTGAAGTCCGTCGGACAACTAAGATGACTTGGAAGGATCAGTCAAGTCGAGATGATGACAAAGGGATCAGGGGTGACGAGAAGAGGTTAGTAGATGGTGAGTAGAGATCTTGTATGTGGCAAGAAAATATATCAATCCTTAAGATAAAGGATCCTACGGAAAGGTTTATATACTTTTCTAGAGCCCTACTGTCCTTCACCGTCCGTAGCACAGACGGTAGCTAAGTACCATTGGTATCTACAAATGGTAGGTACAGATGGTACTTACAGATGGTAGGTGCAGACGGTACTTACAAACAGTATTTACAGTTGGTAGTCGCAAATGGTAGTTGCCAATGGCAAGTGCATATGGTAAGATCAGTTTGCGACTCCAGTCTGTATAGACCAATTGCTATCTCCCATCTGCAGCTCAACTACAATACGGTACAGTACGATATTATATGGTCATCTACTACATGGGTCACAACAGGGTCGTAACACTTTCCCTTGCTTTCCCTTGCTTTCCCTTGCTTTCCCTTAATTTTCACCCTTCCACCCTCGCTTTCAGATTGACTGACATACAGTTCCGCTGCATCTCAACGCACCCCTCCATGTCTGGATGCATGCCGTATACCATCTCAAACAGAATGATTGGCAAAATGCAGTCAGAGAAGGGGGTGAAAGTCACCAATCATTACTGTGCATTTATTGACTTGCTCCTCCACCTACTCCCTTTGTCATTCCAGTCCCTGCCAATACCTCACACGTACAAGTGAAGAATCTTGTCATACATATTCCAAATGTGTTTTCCACAGAGGTTGAAAGAAGATACTGGAGGCATGGGATCCCACAAAAGCAGTGAGTCAGAACCAAGATAGAACCCAGCTAGAGCTGACTTTTTAGGCCAAACCCAAGGGGTATTCCGGCTGTAATGCAGGTCACGCTTACAACATTGATGAACATACCAAAGATCCTATCTACCAACAAGTCCTACATCTACTTGAATGGAAGCATTACAGCAAGGAACTCTTTACCACTTGTGATACCAAACAGGAGGGAGATGAAGAAGCTGTCTATCAACTCATGCTACTCTGTTCCACCATAGCCAAATTTTTCGGACCTTGTGCCAAATCTTTGCTCAAGCAACTGGACCTCGGCGCACTAAACCCAGTCACTGAGTAAGTTTGTTCTTCTACACAGGCAGCTACTATGGCTGACCTCCACATACCTTATGAACTGGTGAATGCACCAAGACCTGAACTTCAGAATGTGCTGGACCGCCTCAAGGAGTCACATCCTACCTATCCCAACCCATTCCTCCTGTGTATTGCAACTTTTGTGGCAGTGACTAAACAAGTTGGAGAAATGTTTCATTTGGAGTTTGGGGATTTAATGAGGACTTATTCACTTCTAGCTCCCATAGGACAGTGGACATCAGGTGGGGAATTACACATTCCGTCCATCAGTCTCTTTCACCAGCTCCCTCCTTGTTCTGCAACTGTTTTCTACTCCACCTTCTCACCCCACAAAGTCACACCCATTGTGGGAGGAAAGAGACTTTCTCTTACTCTCTTCACTTGTTTCAATGCTTTTGAACATGTATCAGAATGAGTGGATGATTTGTAAGTATGATGAACACCAAATTCATGACATGCATTACAATTGGAGAGCTCTCATGCATAGATTGCAGAGTTGTGCAGTATGTAGAATGACATACCTTGGCTTACTCCAGAAATCTAAGACCTCTTCGTCTAACCTCATCCTCTTGTACCATCCGTCTTGCTGCACCTGCACCACCTTGCTCATTTCCGCTCCTCACTATCTGCTCAATAGGAAAGCCTGGCCAAAAAGCCAACTCTGATAGTACTCTTACTCGTGACACCACAACAAATGTCAATCCAGTTGCAAACTCTCTATTGCCTATGTGCACACAAGCTCTATCCAGTGTCGCTCCTTGGGGTTTGTAAATAGCGATGGCGTACACAAGTTGGAGAGGGAACTGTGTCCTGGAGCAAGTTGTTCCTGCAGGCCCATCCCAGGTGACAATTACAGGGGTGATAGGGAGGCGAGGAGTTCCAACTTCGTTGTGGCATGAAGTTTGTCCCTGAAAAGTGGGAAATGCAACCATAACTACACTGGGCAAGTCAATTCCTGCTTCATCACCCTCTCTCAAACCAATTGAGTGTACCCTTCCCTTTGTCCCATTCACCAAACCCTGTGTTGGAGGTCTCCCAGGAGAATTATCATCAGCTTGTAGCTTGCTTTTGGGATCGTCTTGGACAACTTGACCAAGAGCAGTATGCTACTGCAACCAACCTCTGCTCTGAGAAAGCTCAGGTTGCCGAGACAAATGTGGGCAGGTTGGTCAAAGCAGGGGTACCAGTGCTGAGAGTTCAAGCACGTCACACTGGTATGCAGGCAAAGAAAGGAACAGAGGAAAAGGCAGAGGGTGTGTCTTGAGTGCTACATCTGATGATAGGTGCTTAGGTCATGTTGACTCACAATTTATGGACACCACTTCTTCAAAGATGTCAAAGAGTAGTCCGGAACCCTAGACTCTGTTTATCTTCCCCCACTTGCCTTATCACCTGCCTAAGCTCTATACTCTCTTTGAATTGGCAATAAACTTCCAGTCCTTTATTTTGAAGATGAGATGAGGAAGAGGACCCCTCTCGGCACATTGTCACATAGAGTGGTGTATCACCAACTGGTGGAAGCTGGCCAAAATCCCCAAATAGAAGCACACTTAGACCACCAAAAGGGAGGTGGGAAGAGGCAGGAAAGATGAAACCAAGTTGGGTGTGGATGCATCCCAAAGCTTTCCTTCCAATCATGCTTTTCTTGTCTAAGATGAGATATTTGACCATGTTCCATTCTTCTTGCAGAGTTGCAAGTTGGGTTCCTGACAATTCAATAGGTTCTGCTTTGTTGTTGTCTGCAGATAATCCCAGGGCTGAGGGATGGGTCTGTTCAGCAATATTTGAAGCAGCAACACCTGTTGGAGCAAGGTGTTTTACACAGTTTGAAGGTGATGTGAAGTGGTCCAAGCTTTGGGAGATTGGGTCATTTAGGGATGAATTGCCTGTTCCAGCAGTACCATTGATATTGAGTAAGAAGGATGGGGCAGGACGACCATTTTGCCAGGTTTGGGTGTGTTTCATGACCTTGCTGTGTACTCGTTTTTGAGTGTTGTTGAGAAGCAAGATGTTGACTGGGGGAGGTGAAGCATTTGCAACCAACTGTGGAATCAGTAAAGGTTGTATTGGGCAAACCTCACAGTCTTCTTCCACTCTTCCAGAGCGTTAGTCCTCTCGTCCTCACCATTCACTCCCCATTCCCAAGTGACCTTATGCCAGTCCTCTGCTTTATCCATGTCCCAAAGACCCAGCTGTTGACCTATATCCAGTTGGACGGCATGTGAACCTCCCTCTTGACACATGAGAGGCCAATCTCCAAGCACCTGCTCCTTGCTGGCAACCTCTTGCTGGCAGAGTATCTTTGTGGCCATCCAGATGTATAGTCTTGTACCTCTCATATCCTAAACCCCATGTCTCTCCCTCATCAAGTAGCGCTGTCTCATTCCAATGTGGGTGGTGTAGAATCATTCTTGCTGGGCACCACATCTCATACTCTTCATTATTGCTATTTGATGGGTAGTAGGTAGGCCAGAGACGGACCATCCTGTCATTCTTTTGACAAAACACAATATTTCCACGTCGTTTTTTGTACCGTTTTTACCACTGGTACAAGATGACGTCCTCCAGTGTCTCGTCCCTCTGCAGATACATGTCATACCAATCATGGTCTTCAACATCCTGGTCACCTTCCTGAACTAGTAATTGCCAAGCCCAATAAGGTAAGAGACCAAGAGTTCAAAAGTCACAAGATGATGACATCATTTTACCGTCAAGTAAGGAATGACAAAACTCTTGGCACTGTAATCCCTCTCTGTAACCACCTTGTTGAGCATCTTCTGAGAGGCTGCTTGGCTTGGTGTCTCGTCCTCAACCTGATTGGCAATTGCCTGCATGACGTCCCCAAAAGCAAGGCTGGGCTTTTCCGCCTTTGAGGCATACTTTGCCACATAGGTGGCCACTGCATGGGGATCTGTGCAGGGCTGAATGTTGACATTAGCTTGCCATCCAAGTGTAACCACTGGATTGTATAGGTTGAGGAGGGGATCATTTGGAAGGATTGAGATCTGTAGGATATTGTCACAGGGTTGTTTCTTCGTTTGCTTCTCAGGACCGACAGCCACTAACTTTGTGGGCTACAACCTTCACCAGCCTTGATCTTCGTGATATGAATGTTTGACAATAACTTCTGGGTGTGATAACTTTGTGCCTAACTAACTACTATCACTAAAACACCCACCAGAGACCGTCAAAGATCTCTGGGAGCCTCGGCCCTTATGTACTTTGTTCCTCCCTAACTTCGCCAATGCAGAACTTTGTTCAACACAAAGCCCCGAGCTTCGTACCTCACAAACTTTGTCCTCAACGAGGTTCATGCCTCCCTAACTTTGTATCTCCCTAACCTCGTATTCCCCTAACTTCATGCCCTCCTAACTTCCTACATGACTAACTTCGTCCTCAACGAGGTTAGCCTCCTAATATCCTTGTGGGTGGTGAAGTTTATGAGAACGTGATCATTGATGGCAAACTGATGTCCAAAGGAACTTTGTTTGAAGGGAAAGGATGATGTCGCGCGGCGCCGTGTGACAGGTATCACGATCATTTGGAGCAAGTGCAGCTGTAGTGCAGAGAGGTCTGGAAAGTGAAAACCAACAAATGGGTTCTGCTGTTGATTCACTCCCCTTTGGTTGTTTGAGACAGTATTGAGAGCAACATGTGTGGCCCTGGATACGGTTGAGATGCTCAGCCAAGGAAGTGTGATCATGTCATATCTTCATGGGGACAAGAGGAAGGGTGTTTGGAGGCTTCTGGTAGACCAATGCTTGGATTTATTGACACTGTAATGCATACGCCTAAAGGGTGACGTGCACTAAGCTCTTGTGCTAAAAGATCCAATGCTCAGCTCATAGTATGAGCTGAGACCCTTTATAAACTGCTTGTGCTGCGACCGAGATTCAAGATTTATGACAGACACCTTGTCTTTCAATAGTCGATGAGGGACTGTTTGAGTTCGTCTTCTCCTTGTTTCAGTCCCTCAACACTTGGACCATCTTACGACCAGAGCACTCCGTGAATGTGGCCAGAGCCACAGCTTTGCCATTCATATCGAAGCCAAAAGTCTTTTTGGTGGGGAGGGGTGGGTTGCCTGTGGCACAAACAGAATGCATCATTCAATCACTTCCTCATAGTCTGTCTGCTCACTAATCTCATCTGCACCAAAAATAATGAGATCATCTGAATCTACTCCCTCCAACGGACCACTAACTACTTTACCACCCTCCTGCTTCTCCAACAGACTCTCAACATGACGGTATGTATAAAATATTGCAATGCTTCTATCTTTCCTTGCAGGACCTTTCCAACAGCGTGATGAATGAGATTAGAGGTGGGGGCCATGAGAACATCACCAACACCAAGACAATGTCACGGCTGTCGAACAACTTTTCTCTATCAGACCGACGGTCGATGAACCTCGGCTAACTTGGCGCTTCAAAGTCGATGTCTCACCCAACCAGGAGGGCGCAGACGTCGAAAGGAGTGTAACTACGGTGTACTTTGTCGTAGTTACTCTAACTAGGGTTTTGTTTTACTGATGGCAATGTATCTCGATTTGAATGTAGCCATCTCTATCAATCTTTCAACACTGACAACAATCAAGGATCGCTGAAGTTCTTCAGCGATCTTCTCAGCTAATATTATCTACTCCTCCTAGACGTTCACCCAACCCTCTTGCGCTTAGACCTACTTGAACGCACTTCGTCCAACTTCCCCAAGTCCTCGGCCATCCTTCTCCTCCTTTGGCTAACTCGGCCTAACATTGCCGCACTTCTGCTTCCATTATCCCTACTTAGCCTAACTCCGTCTAACTTTGCCGTACTTCTGCTCCCTTTGTCCCTACTTAGCCTAACTCCGTCTAACTTCGCCGTACTTTGTTGTCCCTATGCTCCAGGCCCCGTATATCTTATTCTCCCGTTGTCGTTTGCCGTAGTTGGTCTCAGATGTCCTGAGTTAAGGGTAGAGTAAAGACGTTATGACATGATGGGGGTTTTGATGGTCAAAGGAGGGTCATTGTTGGTGGAATA